GTGGCCACTCAGCACCAGCCCTGTTGGTCCCCCTCATCTTAGAGGAAATGGTATGTAAGCAGAACTGTGCTGCCCTGGGGCCAAGTTTTCATTAGTCTGTTGTAAAAGACCACATTTTATGGCATAGAAAAGTTGCTTTGAGAGTTCTCAAATAGAATGTGCCAATGGCTCCTAGAATGAGACTGAAAGTGTCGATCCTTCATTCAGACCACACTCATGCCAAACACTTGCCTGACTTTCAAAGTCATCTTCTACTTAATGAAAAATATGAGCAATATTATAAAAGTCTAAATATAGAAATAATTCATCTGCTCATTGGAATCTTTTATTCATTAAGAAATAGTGCCATAGAAATCTTTCACTGATATGAAAAGATTTTTGAAATATATTAAATAAAAAAATCAAGTTCCAAAATAGAATGTGTACTATCACTGTTTTATATTTACCCCCACATATACCTATAAATATTTTCATACATATCTCACACATATTCATATTGGAAAAAATTCAGAAAGGATAAAAAGTAAAATGTTAAAAAGAGCTAATGCTAAGGAGATTGTGTAATTTTCCTTTTCCTTTTTATTTCCTAGTTTTCATTAGGAGTATTTATTATTTTCTCTACTCAGAATATTACCCTTTCTTTTGGGGGACTAAATGAAAATGCCTTTAGGACCTTTACCTGGCCACATGACTGGACCAGGGATAGGCATGTGACAAGCCAAGCCAGAGTCCCCACAGGTGCAGAAAGACTCGCTTGCCTGACTGTAAGGCCTGATTGTAAGCTCGGAGGAGCCTGGAACCACACGCCCGGACCTTGGGGAGGTGGGACTGAGGGAAGAAAGCTTTGTATATGGAGAAGCAGGCTTTCTTTCTGGGTGGAGGAAAGAAGGATAGTACAGCCTGAAGTAGGGCTTTACCTAACCACAAAGCAGATGTTTGAGATATGGGGACAATCTAAAGATTGCCTCTCAGATAAGCAGCTGTGGATGTGGGGAGGGCAGGGACACCAATGGATCACTTGGATATGCAAGTGGTCATGCATGTTAAGTTGGAAGGTTACAGAGAAACTGTCCCCTAGAGAATGAAAACAAAGTTCAAAGTGGGGAGGAGTTGGGATGGGGACTTTGGACAGTGGACAGAAGAGTTCCCACCCATTTGTCCCTTTTAAATTTCATTTCTCTCCCATAGACTGCTGTGGAGAGAGAAAAGGGTGAAAGTAAATGTCCTAGGGCAGTGATAGTGAAACATTTTAGAGCTTTCAAAGATAACAGCCCACCCACTGCAGCACACCTGGGTGGGTTCGCCACCACTGCCTTAAGGAGAAAAGGCAATTGCATTCAGCACAAACTTGAGCACTCACTATCAAGGGATGATGGTGCAGATGGGCCTCCAGCCACAAGTGTGCCCCTCCTATCCCTTTTCAAGGATCTAGGATTGATGAGAACTCCCCACTCCGCATAGTTCGAGAGTATGCCTCAGGGGAATCCCCATCTGAAAAATAATGTATTTCCAATAACCTGGGAAACACATGAAACATTTTTCCTTTTTAAAAGACACATTTAAGAGAATAATTATAAAGCACTTAAAATGTGGCAGATACTGTGTCAAGCTCTGTGAAGGTTAACAGTGACTGAGACACCACCCAATTCTTTTTTTGGGTGTGAAAGTAAAAATTTTTCTGATTTATTTCTCTATGTATAGTTCAATATAATGCCAGTTTTTAATGGCGAAAATTTGGTTCCACTGAAACTTCATAATGCACCCGAGAGCAACTGCTTTCTCTAGAAAGTAAACAGCTGGAAAGAGAAAGCACACTTTCTAGCACCATGGCAACTTAAACCACAGACCTCATCAATCTGCAACTTTTACACTAAAAATGCCATGAACATTAGCTGGTGACAGAAGTGAGAAATGGGGAATAAGACATGAATACCAAAAGGTGCACTATATATTCTGTAAAGACAGATAAACCAAATATATCTATAAGAATATTACATGATAATTATAGAAAAAGGAACCAAATATTTTATTCAAATGATTTAGAGCCTTTCTGTGGATACAAATATATACTATATATATATATATATATAAAATGTTTTACAAAGATGCTTCTCAATTAAAGATGGCACCAAAGCTGTCGTCATAACCTGAAGTCTTTTGTAAGACTATCCATCTGAATTTTCAGTTTCTTTACAGTTAGTACATTAGTTTTCCAAATATAATTACCTGACATCGTTTTTTTAGATATAAATCAAGTAGGCATTGCCTTTGGGGGTGTACAGGGTATTTCTAAAATGCTGTTCATTGCCTCGCAAGCTGAAGGACCTGAGTTTGATCCCCGGTACCAAAAAAAAATACAAATAAAAATAAAATAAAATAAAATAAAATGCTGTTCATATCAAACTTACAACAAGCCTCAAATAAGAATCATTATCAATAAACATATCAAAAAGGGCTATGTAAGTTGGATTTTCTTCCTCATAGTAAATATTTTGTGATTACCAGTTTGCAAGTATTGAAAATGCACAAGAAAGATTTTACCTCACAAGTACTATTAATAAGATATTTTGATTCTCTACATATGGCAATAAATCTTCACGTTGTAACCATTTTGTATGTATTTTTTTAAATGGGGGATTAACACTAATAATTACTATATATAAAATAAAGCACACAATTACTTTGGTGATTTCACCACCCAATTCTTATTTCCAAATAAAGCTTCAGTATGGTGCCTGATGCCAATGGGGATACAGGGCCATGAAGGCAAAGGACTGAGGTCCTGAGGAACTGGAAAAGGCTTCTCTGGGCCACAAAGGCTCAGCCAAGACCTGCAGGTAGAAGAAGTTACCTAAGAGAAGACAGATGGGCTCCAACCTTTAGGCTGTTGGGGCACAGATTCTGGGGCTCACATGCCCTTTGCCACATGCTGCCCAGTGTCTGAGCTATGGGATCTAAAGTGTATCTAAACTGGTTTGCAGGCATTTACACCTTTACTGTGCTGGTCACAAAATCTCAGGTGTCCCTGAGGTCTCACAGAGGGACAGATGCACATGTCACAACGAAACATCCATCCTGGGGGAGCACTGTGTTCTCTACCTGTAACCCTCTCAACAATCTTGCAAAGGTAAGCAGTTTTCAGTGTTTCAGAGATGAGAAAGGGATGTGAGAGAGGTAGTCCTTCTCCAAGGTGGCCCAGGCAGAAGGTGGTGAAATCAGGCCCCAAGCCATCAGGAGGAAGAACAGCAGCAGCCAGCAGGAAGAGGGAAGGATCAACCAAGGTCCATAGGCACTGAGAACAGCAGACTCCAGGTTCATTTCTGAAGCGGGTGTGTGGTCTGCAGTGGTAACTGCACAACTGTGAACAAGGAGTGTCTATCTGTTCTCAATACGGCTTCCCTGGGGCCCCTGACTCTGGCAAGGAGGAACTCTGAAGAAGATGTGGTCCATGGTCCAGCACCCCTAGAGATAGAGGGCCAGTTCCACCTTCCCAGGCTCAGTCTGGAACAAGATACAAGTCTGTTGCAGCCAGAGGCTGGCTGGGGGCAGGAGGGGAAAAAGATTTCAACTTAAAGAGAACTTGAAATTCTCACCATTCAAGCACTCAGAGACATAAGTCTGACCAACAGGCTAATGCAACTAGAGTGGCATTCATTTTAACATTATTTTCACTTAACAACTTTTATGAAAATACTCTCCAGCCAGGTGTGGTGGTGCATACCTATATTCCCAGCACTCGGGAGGCCGAGGCAGGAGGATCACTGCAAGTTTGAGGCTATCCTGGGCTACAGAGTGGGGTCAAGGCCAACCTAAATTACACAGCGAGACTGTCTCAAAATAAAAATAAAAAACAAAAATACCCTCAGATACTTTTCTTGTCTCCATAATCTGAGATTAATCACACAGGGATAAAACCATCTCCAATTTAACTCAAAATCAGTTGAAGACATCTCGTTACCTCAACTTCCCTGGGTCTTGAAGATTGAATATTTTTAAAAATCAGTCATACTGTTGGTCATATCAAGGGAAGGGGAATGGATCAAACTACAGGGCATTCAAAACAAAGTAAATCTTTGTAAAAACCTTGATTTGCAAGCTAACATTTTAGTGTAATGTTAAATGCTGAGGCCTAAAAAAATTACTTCTATATCGCTATTTTTCTTTCTCTTAATAATTATATCATTCTTCTCTTTTTGACCTTTTTGAAGTTCCTGGGTTTGAAAGCGCTATGCATTTTGGCTCAAGAATTCAACATCTGGGAAACAAGTTATGCAGTGAGAACTCCCCAGAGGACAGACCATATGCATGAGCTTTTTTTTTTTTTTCACAATCTGACTGGTCTGCAGTTTCTGCAGGTTAAATCCAGGCTCATACGTGTTTCAGCTGTTAGTCTGGGTAAGTCTGAGCTACCTATAATGAAGGACTTCATTTCTCCCTTTGTGAACTTCTATTGAAGGTCATTTCATACTTTACTTCTTTTTTTTTTTTTTTTTGTACCAGGGATCGAACTCAAGTCCTTGCGCTTGCGAGGCAGGCAACGGAACCACTGAGCTAAATCCCTGGCCCCATTTCATACTTTAAAATACCAAAATTTTCTAAATCAATTACTATACTTTGAAATCCAATAAGCTGAAATGAAGTTTTGATATTCCCAGAAATGCTTAGGCTCTCTTTGGAAAAAATAAACTAAAATCCATACTTTAAGGACTGGTATTATTATTTGCTAATGCTGGATTTCCACTATTTGGTTATTGTTATGCTAAATTCTCTGGTAAACAATACCAATTTAATGAAAAAATGGAAAGTAATACCAATGGCATAGAAATATCTTTAAATATTAAAAATATAGCCACAGATTTATACAACTGCTTCAGAGTCATTGTAATTCTTATGGTATAAAAGTATCACAACAACAAAGGAAAAGCCACTTTTCCTAAGTGTTTTAAAACATACACACACACCTCCACACACAAAGCCAGTAATGCCTGAATCTGTCAGAGTAAGATGTAAGAAAATATATTTATTTTTTTCATGACAATATTATGATAAAATTGTTAAATACATGCACATTTTAAAAACAAACATACGTAACATCTTTAGAGTTATCAGCCAAGCATACGAGTTTTATATTTATGGTGTCATAGTAATAGGTTACTTATATTCTATGTTTCTGCTATAACCATGTTTTCCCAAAGATATGGAAATTAAATTCTGAAATTATATGATATACAATGTCCAAATTTCCCATTCGAACAGCAACATAATATCCAATTTTTCACAAGGCAGGAAATACTTCAGTTGTCACCCAAATTGTTTCATTCCACACTAAAACCCAGAATTCTGAGATCCAGAGTGAATCACAGAGATACACTGCTATAGTTTCCTTCCTGCATACGTGTATTTAAATGTTTCTTTACAGGATTAAAAATGATTGTAAATACAGAATAATCACAACTCATCATTCATGTTAAAAAAGTCTGATGTGGTAACATTTCAAGAAATGAAAAAAGGAACAGTTTGGATCTTCAGTTTCTCCCTATCTTCTTCACTGATACACACCTGACCAAACAAAAGTTAGTAAACGGTTACTAATATTTATAAAAAACTAAAACTATGTAACATAACACCACCTTGAAAAAAACATTCAGGCTACAAACCTTATAAAAGACAAAAATTTATCTGTTCACAGTATGTGTATTTTGTAAACAGTAATTCACTATAATGCAATTTTAAAGTAAAAAATGGTAATTTCCTAGTGTTATAAGGATGATGATTTATGACCAGCTAATTAAAGACATGGTAAACTATTCTTACTATTAATGTTCAATATCTTTAAATGACTTATTTTACCTTTGAACACACCTTTAATGTAGTACTATCTCAAACTTAGGATGTCTTTCTTTCTATCTAGGACAATCCTCTACAAGCAAATCTAAACCAAAATGGATTTAAGAAATGGCATGCTCCCTTTAAAGAAAAGAACAGGACAGAACAAGGTCCAAGGTCCGAGGCATCACAGACACCCATCCCTCATCAAAAGGGAGCTGAACAGGGCTTCTCTCTGTGCCTCAACTACTCATGCGACTACTCACATTTTTCCTACACATTACATTGGAAGGAAAAATTAAATAGAAGGAACCACCAACTTATGAAATATTAGAAAAACAGAGGGGAGTATCTGGATCAAACTGGGGAAAGAACATTTGAAAATAATTTTATGAAAATCATTATTCACTATCCTCTATGATGAACTGCAAAAGTACTAATGTCAACCTATCAATTGTCCATGATTCAATAAGAATTGTATCACCACTTTTGATCTTTTATAATTCACCACTGGGATGGTTAGGAGAAATAAGTTCAGAGCCTGAAAGTTCCCATTTACAATGGAATAATTCTATAGTGAAGCATATTTTAAGTGTTCGAAGAAATTCAGTAAATTTAAGTGCGCTGTTCAATCAGACATACAATGTATTTTAGGCTTAAGCACTGCATAAAGTCTATATTGTTTTTTGTTTTTTCCTTTTTAAGTTCCGACTGGCTACTACAGAGGCAATCTTAGGAGATATATATGTAATAGATATCACTTTCCTTATCAATTATCAACATTTTTTTCCTCATTCACATCTTTTTAAGGTATGCAGTTCTAGTGACCAAAAAGTAATGTAAGTTACTGCTGCTTTGTACTTGGTTAATGTTCAATCAGCTATGGTTTACTTACACAAACTTTTGAATTTATTGTTTCTATGGTTCTCTAGCTAGGCACTTACACTTGAAAACATTCAGAGAGTTTCCCTCTTACAATACTACTTTTAATTTTCATAAAAATGTAGCAATATTCCTTAGGTAAATTCTGTTCATAACTTGGGCATCTTACAATTAAAAATATGAACATTCATAATACAGGGAAAAACAAGCACTACTAGTGATTAAAAATAATAGAATCCTGTCATAATCCAATACCATAATTATAAGCACATGGGTGTATTTTATCCCAAATTACATCCCCTGAAACTCTAACATATACAATAAAACCTGACAGTCAATTAACTGAATGTTGTTCTCAACCCTATATACTGGCATTAGAAATAGTATGCCTATATTATAACCAGCATGAACATGCTCAGGTAAATAGTTAAGACAAAAGCTGCAGTTGAAAAGGAGTAAGAATCTAACCACCCCACTGAAATAAGAGGCTTAAATGTTACTAGTCCTAAAATGTTAATCCATGGAGATATAAATAAAATCAAATTTAAACCAAGTGATTTCCAACAATAGTCTAAGATGTTTAGAAAATGAATGTCGTCTAAGTTCGGCTACAATCATTCTCTTCCGCAAAAAATTTTTCTTTTGGACACAAGAGATAAGTATGACATCATGAAACTTTAACCAAAATAACAGTTTATAATCAGTTAAGCTCACATACACAGTATTGTTTGCCAAAAAGTATGCTGTGTTGGTACAAGCAAGTACCAAATTATGTAAACTGGCAGACAAAAACAAACTATGGACACTTAAAATTAGGAAGAAATTAAGATACCTAGTGATATGGACGCATTAGTTTTCACTCAAACTGTGGAGCCACTTCAAGGCAACAGTTTCAGATCTACACAAGCTACACCTTGATCTACACTATCCTGAAACTACTGCTAAATTCATAACATCAGGATGGGACTCAGTCAATAAAAACTTAGTTATTGAACTTTCACAATGTATGTAGCTGATTCCATTCACATTTTACACTCGAGATGCCTGACTTTATACTTTCAAAGTAAGGGAAAAGGCACTTTATAAAAGGTATACAAATTTTAACATTGCTCAAAACAGAAAGGCAGCAAAAATTACATTAGTGCAAACAAAAAAGTTTTATCAGATCATGTGCCTGAGCGGAAAACTTTGAGATAACACTTTTTAAAATATTGACATGTTTAGGGGTACATTTAATTTCAAAATACCATCAAATTGATTTCAAATTCCCTTTGGAAGAAAATATTTTCTGGTCTCCTTCACTAAACTACACTTAATTATCCAAATACAGAAAGGTCTGTAACATTCTTTAAATATGGACAGTATGAAGACATCCAGAGGATCACAGGACTGACTTCCAACAAGAATACAATCTGCATGAATTTTTGAGAATGTGACTTTTTACCAGTGTCTGTGTTCAATAGTACAAATGCAATCCCCAGATCCATGAGCTGTGAATGTAATGCTGGTATGGAAAACGAGGCTGATACTTCCTCCCCTGAACTACTCAGTGAATGGCTGCTTCTGTTTCCAGCTGTGGGAACAAAGCACCTCTATCACACAGCACACATGCACGCACACACACAACTCAACTTTCAGATACTTGGGGCCACAATCTCAAATCCAGAGCTCTGCTAGTTCAACCAACTAACAGCTTAGATTGAGTACATGTGCTAATCCATGCAATGCTTACTTCACAAAGCCTAGCTAATGTCAAAAGCCTACCTAAGTCTTTAAGAATTTTTTACATTAAATTCTAAAATGGCCACTCACAAAAGAAACTGACAGAAATTATGATGCCCAGAATCTCCACTGTTCATGAGGGAAACCTGATTTGCCATTGGTTTATTTATAAAAGAGGTAACAATCTACAGTCCTATCTACAGTCTTCCTTTTTTTTTTTTAACCATAGCAAAGTTTTATTAAAGGTACAAAAAGCAACAGGCTCCGCAGGGCGAGTTTGGGCCAGGTAAATGTAGGAAAAGGAATACACCCCACAGTGTGAGGGCAGGCCACCATCAAGGAGCAAGACACAATTCTACTCAACAGAAATCATGCAATATACTTTTAGCTCAGTATTTAGAATTTTCTAATGTCCAAGCTTTTGTTAGGAAAGAGGAATTTCCCAGCTTTTGTTTTTTTTTTTTTTTTTCGCAGTGGAAGGAATACATATAGCCCACCTCTCTAGCTACTCCTTAACCCTCTCCAAGGGACAAGTAGCTGATCTGATTGGACAGAGCACAGCCACTATGAGACTACCTTGCACCCATGGGCATGGTACCTGCAGTGACGTAACAGTGAACACTTCTGGGATCTCGAACAACTCGATATGGGACAAAGGGTGTCCTACTCCCTTCTCCCTCCTTGTGCTCAAGGTCTCCCTAAATGCAAGGATGGGGCAGGTTGGAAAGATAATAAGCATGGACTGGGTCTGGCTGTTTCTGATTCAATGAGAAAAGAAAAGAAAAACTGCTCTGGCCTCAGACTTAAGCCACAGTCTCCTAAGCATACAGGAAGTTAGGGAACTTGCCCAGACTAAGCAAGTTTTACTCTGCTTCTCATTCACCTAAAGATCCATGAATACAGAACTCCTGAGGTAGAGACAGATGAGGAGCACTCTGAACTTTCTTCTACAGTGAAGTCTTGGACTCAAGAGACCCTGGTGATAGTCACCCTTAGGCAGACAAATGAGTCATGACAGGTTAGAGAAAGGGCACTGCTGCAGTGATGACAGGGACCAATGTCTTCATTTTTTCCCTGTGTTCTCAGGTGAGTATAGTTTAGACTGATAAGCTTTTACCCAAGCCAACACTTGTCCTTGTTCTGAAGAGATAAACTATGGGATCAATAAGCTTCAATAGGAAATGAGGTACACACTGAGGACAAGCAGAAAAAGCCCATGCTCTGGCAGAGAGGAGAAGCTCCAGGTTCAAGTGTCTCAGGGGAGAGAGACAGGAAGGAGCCAAAGAGGATAAAAAGGAAGACAAAACTTTGTTTAGGAATGGCTCTTACTTGATATATTTTCATTACTGAAAATTTCTATTATATAGATTTAATATACTATGTTTGTGCATAATTATATTTTATTCTACATGTATCATGATGCTCAAATTTAGCTGAGTTCTATCAGTTAAAATTAGGATTCATATACTGGGTACCTAAATAAATTTTGTCCCTTGTTGCCCTGTGTTTTTCCCACAACATGGTTTTTAAAAACATACAATGAGTTCAAAAGATAATCAATCCATTATTTGCAAATATATTATAGAAACTCAGATGATACAAAAGAAGTCTACCTTAATTTACTCAGATGTTTCAAATTTTCAAGTACTTTTCTTAACCATCAAAAGACAATATACATAGACAAGCCAAGTGTATGGAAAATATACAACACTCTTTTTAGTTTTTCACTCTGCTTTTCCGAGAATCATATTCATTCTTGAGACTGCTGATGAGGAGCCAGGATGGGCAGAGGATGCCATGCTGAAGATACCAATTCTACATGGTTCACCAGCAGCTGCCACACCTATGACACAGACCTGTCCATTGATTCAAGTCCATTTTATGACCTTTAACGGGAAATAGCCTTTGAGTCACTGTTCCTGGAAGAAGCATCCTCAATTTAGTTTTATACTTAAAAATCCTTGATCTGATAGTCTGGACCAAAGATCACTTACGAGGGAGATTACAACCCATGAGTGAAAGGAAAACCTGTTGCGAAGCTTTGAAGATCCTAGCTGTTTGGTAACCAGGCTCAAGGGAATGGTCTTCTCATTCTTGGGAAATATAAGCCAATCAGAGCTACCAGACAGCAAATGTTGCCAGATATTGCTTAGTAGTCATCTCACATAGTAAATCATGAGGAATTATGTTTATTATTAATAATGAATTTGCTCATATAAAGCTGACACCATATCACAAAATAAAATGGGTTAAAAAAAACCTTAGATCTGTGGTTCTAGAAATTTAAGTTTCAAATATTAGGGTATCCATCTGTAATAATGGAAGCTAGCATAAAAGCTAAAAAGTAATGGAAAGGTTTGAAAAACCTACCAAAGCAAGACAATGCTATTCTGATTGGGGCTGGTCAGTGTCACACTCATTTTCCACATTTGCACCCCTGAGACAACTGTTTGAGAACCATTATACAGTAGGCACAGAAATCAGCACATTTCATCAAACAGAACACTAAATAGTTGTCACTACATTAAAATTATATTATCTTTTATAAATGCTGTAGATAGAAGAGAATAATCTTAAAAGTTTTAAAATCTGTGCTTGGTTTTCCTCTAAAATGGAGCGTATGTCAGGAAATAAACATTATGTGACATTGACATTTTCCTCCCTTGCCTGCAAATCCTCTTGCAATTCCACACAGTATACATATGAGAAAACCATTAACTACAGAAAACAGCTGATGCAGGATGTGTTTTGCATGTATGTACGAAACAGTATTGGCCTTGAAATGCTTCTTGAGGAATTCTTTGGCTCAGTCACAATAGCTCCAAATCTTGAGTTTCATAGGCCAAGGATTCTGAGTCACTGACCTTGGTTTTTGGACTACACTAAAAGACATTAACACTTCTGGTGTAACTTGCACGCAGTGAAGTTCACCTGGGTAGCAATACTTCCGTGTCCCTCCAAGGACACCCAGTGCTGTTGGTGCAGCAACACCAGCAGTAAGAGCTTATTGAGATGGCAGACTGAAGTGACAGGGTGACACTTTTAATCATTAGGTTTGTTCTGAAAAAAGTTCGAAAAGGACCACCCTCCTCCACTTGATTTAGCAGAGTCTTCATCTTTAGGGGGAATCAAAAACTGTCGGGAATTGATGGAGCATGGACTTCCAAAAGAGACAATCTCACTGTTGCTATCTGTGGATCTAGGAGAGTCTGGAGAGACCAATTTCCAAGTATTTACATTTGCCTGAGGTCGGTAACCTGCAGTTTTATCTATGTCATCCTCTGCAGCTGACTCTTCTACAGTAGAGTTAATAGGGAGACGCATTTGTGGCTTATAGCCTGCTGAAACTATGGGATCCATTTCTTGGTCTTCCTCTGGCTTGGCCTGAGGCTGATACATGGACTGAACATCAATGTAGATGACCTGTGAAGTACCTCCTGGTTCATCCACAGCTGGGTTCGGAATTTCTTCCTCGATGATCGGTGGGCAATAGGACACAACCACATGGTTTTCAGGCTCTACATCAGAACTATCTACAGGACGCTCGGCTACTGGGGAAATTATTTCTGTGTCTTCTATTTTAGGAAGTGTTGACCGAGTTTCCAGAACCTCAACATTATTTGGGGTACAAGGATTCATTTCCAATGTTTTAAGAGCACTGCTCCCCTAGAAACAAATTTTAAAATAGCGATTAACATGAAATACTATTGCAATGTTTCTCCTACTAGAAAGGGCATGTTTATTTTCTCACACCTGCTTATAAACATTTGCCTCTGCTACTCTGTAGTGCACACCAGAAGAAAGCCATTTTTTTCTCTACATCAATATTTTCCTTGCTATTAGTAGTAGTGGAAAAAAAGAATATGGTATAAACAAATTAAGATTAATAACTTCAGAAATTCAGCAGATGTTAAAATCATGCTATCTGGCTTAAAACTCTTTACTTAGGAAGACATCTGCATGTTATAAACTTTTCACAGAAGAGAAAGAAGCCAGTAGCTCAAAGACAATAGAATGAAAGTATTACCTCGCAGACACTCTTTTGAAACTGTAATGCTTTACAATTTTCAGGATTTGGAATATCAGGGTAGAAGGTCTCCTTAATCCTTTAAATAAAAAATGATTTAGTATATTTAATAACTATAATATTATCAATCAGGCAAGTTGTCAGCTTATTTTGATACTTTATGTGAATGTTCTAATGAAAATCTGAAATAAATACAGAAATCCTAAGTATGTGACTAATCATCAGAGCTTCTAGATAAGGTTCCAATTGGAAAATTGCAAACAGTAATACTATGTCTAGAACTATAACAGTTTGTATATCTCATGAGATTGGAAGGCAAATAATTAAAATGGAGATTGTGCTATTATCTCCAAAGAAAATTACAGATGTTGTTAGTACAACTATAATTTTCAGTGCACACTGGATTCAGCAGGATCAATTATGAAGGAGTGTGTCTGCATCTGCTGTCCTCTTATGCAGAGCAGCATCTGTACTGTGCAAGGAACAGCTGTGGTGCCCTATGACTGTGACCAAGGTAGGTAAAAACAGTGAGGCAACAGCCATGTGTCACAATGACATTACCCGGCGGGCTAAGAAAAAGAAAGGAAATCAATCTTGGGTAAAAACTAAATGCAGAAAAAAAATGAGATCTGCACAGCGTCACATCACATTTTAATGTGATATTTACTAAGATTATTATTATTTGAAGTTCCAACAGGAAATATAACTTTGTTAATGTGAATCTAAAGCAAATCTTAACCTCTTTCTTATTTGGTCTTTGTTTTGGTATCAAAATAGTTGCTTTTAAAATGTGACTTTTCATAATGAGACTATGGTTACCAAAAACAGGCTACTCTATCCTTCTATAGCAACTACTGTTCTGATTTAGAAGCTAAGATTTCCAAAACTCCTTCTCTTCCGTGTCATAAAGGGATGACTCCTTTAAGAAGGTGAGGATCTGTCTGTGTGTGAATCAGCCCTCTCCCCAGACCCAGACCACGGCACTTTCCTCACGCAGCCCTGCCCACGCTGCCTCTCATCTCAGCCTCTCTGTCCAGTTCTCCAGCCACACAGCTTCTCCAATGCCAAGCAGCACAGAAGCCATTCCCTCTGACTGTACCATTCTCTCTCCCTTCCTCGTCCTTCATGACTTTCCCAGAGAGTAGCTTTCCTGTGAGACTCCTTATGGCATTGGTGGCCCACTTCTGCTCCTCACTGGATGCTTAGTGGTTACTGTCAGTGTCCTCCTCCTTCACCATGCTACAGGACTCCGAGGATCAGGCTACTTTGTTCATCACATCCCCCTTCATGGGGAAGGGGTGTTCATACTCGATGGTAAGCAAGTAAATGACCCAAACAACCCAATTTTCTACATGGATAAGTGAGACAAATGAGAGCTTAATCGCTAAATAATATATAATCCTGAAGATACTTACTGTCATGTTTAAGCCTGAAAATATTTTTTTGACACAACTGCCATTACTTTAAATTAGTAGTGAAAGCAATAGGGAAGAATTTATACTTTTACTCTGTTAGCTTTAGAACTTTTAAATGTTATTTTCTTGCCTAATATTAAAGTCAGTATTAATTCTGACTAAAAATATAATTTCTAACTTGTACTTTGTATTAAAAAGATAATCTTACAGTGTAACACATAGAATAATCAAACCCTTAAAAACAAAATAAAGTAAACACAAGTATCATTACCACTCTCGTTTCCGATAGCAAAGAAGACTTGTTACCACTCCAATAAGGACAGCCACTGCCACCGGGATGAGAATGGCAATAATTAATCCCACAGCTGAAAATAGAACGTTGCAAACAAAAAAACCATTTTTAGCATCAAGTATATTATTACTTAAAAAGAAAAATAAATCTAACTGTTCCAGGGATACTAAAAAACTAGTAAAAATGCAATCTTCCTAGTATTTCAGTCATTTTTATTTTACTACTTAAAATTCTTTACAGGAGTTTCTCAATCTTGGCACTACTATGTGGGAAGGGCTGTCCCGTGTACTACAGGAAATGCAGCAGCACCCTGACCTCTAACCACAACCCCCAGTAGTGCCCTCCCCACAAGTTATGACGATCCCAAATGTTATCACACTCGCAGGAGTCTCTGAGGGGCAAAAATGCCCCCATCTGAGAACCACTATTTTAGTGAATGATAAGAGCAGTAACAGAAGCTCCAACTCAGGGGCAGAGGGTAAGTCTATAACCAATTAAAGTTTCTGATGTTGGAAGATAGTCAAAGTCATAATTTTTCTCTACTTCCACCTTAAATTTATAAGTGTTGTGCTTTGGGAAATTTTTTGGCAATGCTTTTTGTTTTGTTTTTTAGTGCTGGGACTCAAACCCAGGGTCTCACTCATGCTAGAAAAGAATTCTGCCACTATATCCCTAGCCCCACAAAAACTTTTTAAAAATTTTTATTTCTTTTGTCTAGATTTATTTAAAAAATCACATACTAGCTGGGGAAAATTTTTAATTGGCTATTATATAATTTCAATATGCATTTAAACCTCTAGGCTCCAAATATATTATTAATTCATTAATTTATTAGGTACTCATTTGGAAATAGCTTCAAATATCTGACAAGAATAAACATGAAGTTACCTTTTAAAGATGCCCTTTATCTAGCATACAAATAAAATGTGAAATTTTTAAAAAGGGAGGGGTAGCAGTTCCTACATAAATCAAAAACTGGTTTGGAACACTATGAACTTAAGCATGGAAGGCAGCTTGATGTTAATTCCAAACTTACAGTTTTCGTTTGTCACCACAAACATGCTCTTCTCTGGGCCCAGGCCACCATCTGTGTAGGCTCGCAGAACCAGATGGTAACTCGTTTTACCTTGAAGATCAGCAATTCTTAGTGTCTTCTGAGATATGTCAGTAATATTCTTCACCTTGATGTCAGAATGACCTAGTTTTCAAATGAAGAATATTTTAACTCATCCTAACACCACTTTAAACACTTAGAGGTTATGCATGCTTGTCACACAACCGCTCCTTTCATGTGAACTTGGCTGCTGGCCACCGCAGCCAACAATCTGAAGCCAGGCAGACCTCTACCAGATGAAAGCTATGTTTAGACTATAGGATTTGAGTTCTCTGATGCTGAAACCCAATACCATGACTTGCCTCTAAGAGTTGTGTGAAGTTGTATGAAAAGGATGTGAAGTTCACACATATCTGCTGGACCACTGCCTGGTATACAGCAGGCAATCAATAAAAGCCACTTCCTTCTCTGTTACTAAGAGCAAGAAAACCACTCCACTCAGGCTGATCCTGCCTATGAGTTAGTGGCACAGGCTGATGGGGCAAGAGTGCAAATCAACAGAGATGACTTCAAACCACTCAGACAAAGGGTCTGCATTATGGGAATCCTTTAATGATGGGCTATGAGGTAGCCTTTGAATCACTTCAAAAGGAAGAATGAAGTGCTTAAACTTTATCTTGTTTTTAAGACTCTCAACCAAAATAATACAAGATGATAGTTTAAAAAATAGTACTAAATGGCTAGTAATACAATGTAGCAGTTCCTTACCAGACCCTCCCCTTATTCCTACAACTACTTCAAAATCATGTTATCAGTTTTTTGGGGTACTTCATTTTTTTGAAATAAAAACTTAAGATTGTTCTACAGCTGCTTCTTTCTTCACTAGTTGTCTGAAAATTCCTTATAATATACCTAGGCATGGATTTTTTAAAAGTTATTTTACTGTGTACTTAATGGATCCATTTACATATATATGTAGACATATATTTACCTATATATCCACATATACATACATATATATACAAATCCTTCCACTTCTGCCAGTCAGCCAGCCCCCTCCATCCAGCCCAGATTCATCCTGACCATCTGCTCCAACACTTGCCCCTACAGGATAAATCACATTGTACCTAGATGATACTCAACTGCTACTCACTTAGATTTCACCATCCTCCACTCTTCTAAGTCACTTGCCACATGTCAATCACAAGATTTCCAAATTCTCTTTCTGGATGCCACCTTTGCTTCTTGCTTTCTCTTTCTCCTTGTGGCTTTATGAAGTTTGTTTTATTTTACTCTAACTTGAGGAACCAATCCACCATGTCTAATCAGAAATGGAGATGCTAGCATTTTAACTAGTTAAAATGTAAATTTTCTGAGCATTTGAGGAAAATTATACTAGACTGTAATGTCTGTACAATTTGATACATGGAGGTTTTTTCATCCACAGGCAACCCTGAAGGTGCTGGAGCTATAGAAGCCAGAGACCTGGGGAAGCAGAGCAGCTCTCAAAGCTATTATATGCCCAGTCAGCATCTGGGTGTAGCACTGTTGTCTCTACTTCTTAGGGTGACATTAAAGAATTGAAATAGTTTCTTCCTGAGAAGAAGTCATTAATGGAAATGAACGCTCTCAAACTGAAAAAGTGATCCACTTGTGTCTATGAACAAGAAACATCTGACTCCCAGCAGAAATCTAACTTAGAGAAATGCTAGAAATCTATATAAACAGTTCTGTATCAGTAAATTTGAGAACTCTCTTAAGAGTCTAAGGTGTTTGGACACACACTTCACAATAAATGACTGTACTTTTCAAAATTAATGGATATTCATATCCTTATTCAAATAAATTAAGTTTTCTACCTCATTACAGCTAAAGGAGACGTTAACCATGCTGATGATTCTTTCTCAGGTTATACTGCAGGCTCTGAAGCCATTCTTTGGATTCCTGCATTTTTCTAAGTACAAGAACATTTTTTTAAAGTAAATTTTATAAGATGCTACATTGTAGATTATGAAAGGTTAACAAGAGACAGTCTCTATCCTATGGAGCTTAAAATCAAAAGCTTCAGAATAAATCATATAAATGATTTCTGAAAGACTAGACACATGCCATTTATTATATACTAAGATAATAAAATGGTCATATTCATAAAATGATTACATTTCCACTTCCTTATTTTTCAGACAATTTTGGAAACCAGTATTAAGCTACTCAGCAGCACTTTCTTTACTTTCCTCTTTACTTTCTTTTGTGGCTAATGAGAACTAAGAAAAGCTATAATCAGGCTAGGAATTTACTTACCTGACTCCAAACCTCTCATTTGAGATGCATCTTTTTCTCCTTTTTCAAAGTAAAATAAATACCCTCTTAAAAAGCCTCTAAGCTCTTCCACAGGAATATCTTCCCATTTTACTAATATGGAATCTGCAGTTGTATCTTCAACAGTAAAATTTGGTGCAACAATTGGAGCTGTAAAATGAAGATGTCAATTGCTGAAAGTTTACCAAATACAGAGTAATACCATAATGGCTCATGAGCTTTCTGGCCTGAAAAGCAGCTGAATTTGGAATTAAAACTGTATTCGCTATTCAATCATAAACTTCCAGTGATTATTACAAAGCTTATATAATAAAAATCACAGACAAAAATTTTTTTGTTTTTGTTTTTGGCACCGGGGATCGAACTCAGGACCTTACACTTGCGAGGCAGGCGCCAGAATCACTGAGCTAAATCCCCGGCCCTAAAAATATTTTTATAAACAAAAAAGTAAACTTCATAATGCAACTTTCACACAAAACGTATGTCCAGGTAAACAAACTATTCAAAATCTAAGTGGCCACTCAAATAGACTTCATTTGTATTTCCCTTCTTTATTGCCAGTGCTGAATAAGTTAATGTTTTTTAAACTTGAATAAATACAAATAAAATATTTCTGACATTCACGTTAAGTTTTAGTTTTCTCAATGACAACAGCAAAACTATGAAATGTGAACAGTAACAACTGGATTAATAATACACAAATAGTTTTAAACTTAAAAATTATTTTTAACCTTCCCTGAACTAAACATCTTAATTCAATCTATTTTTAAAATTCAATCTTGCTTTTCATCAGTTTATGAGTTTTCATATTACCCAAACTCTAAGAACTTATCCCTTTAACTTACCCAATTCTTCAATATATCCAATTATGGAACGTAATAATTGATATCCTTGATTTCTGCACCCATACAGGAAAAAATTATATCTGATACCTGGTCGAAACTGATCTATAGAATGAAAAATTAGTAAAAATTGATAAATATATGTATATATATATGTTAGAATATTTATTTTAGAAGTATATAATTTATAACTGAAATTTCCAAAGCTAATCTTTAATAGATGTTTTATTACAAAAATAATTTGTATTTTTAAACAGTATATATTTAGAATGAAAACTAGGAAAAAATTAAATAAATCCACTCATACTATAGCATTATAAGATGACATTGCCTTGAAAAGAATAATGATGACAGAGCCTTACATTTTGTTCCATAAAATCAAGCAATGATGACTTCTTCCTGGATTTGATCCAGGGTCAGTTCACTAACCCCCACTCCATGTCTACATCATGCCTCGATAAATTCCTTCCCTATATGATGTTATTTCTCAATTGGGAAGAAATCACTGTTCTACCTGTGCTCTAAGAGAAGCAGAATATTAAGGGTTCTTCTACTCTACCTTGAAACTTCAATGTTATAGGAACCAGGCCTTTAGTCATTAAATATTCCTGGGTGAGTTAACTCTATAAGCCATGCAAAGGAAACACCTTAACTTCAACTCAAAAAGTACTTTTTAAATTCCTCCTCAATATAATGCAATGTATGAAGGAAGAACATAGAAATGCACAAAACAAGGTCCCAGGTATGGTGAAGCTGACAGAGAGATGAGGAAGACCCATGAACAAAAGTAAGCATAGCACAGTGTTATACTGCACTCAGGGTACACATCAGATGCTGAGACTATGATGGCCCAAAAAAGCCTCAATAAGTACTATCTGAACAGGGCCTTGACAGGCAATTAGGAGTTCATGAGGGTTGATTTAAGAAGATAATGCTTTCAGTAGAATGGCAGCAATTATTCTAATGTGGTTAATAACTTATATATATATATATATATATATATAGGTTCAAAAATGAGAAGGTCAACCTCCGAAATCCTACAATCCAAAGAAAAACAGAATGGACTTGTCTCCAATTTAACTTTTCTTTCTGCAGTATTTTTCTTTAAATGTTTTCTATATGCTGTCATGTACTAAGTAAATATCAATGGAAAACTCAAACTCAGCCAAATTTGTTTAGCTGTGAAACTTTTTTGGGGGAAAGACATGCTGTACATGCATTTTATGTTAAAATTACGTATTATCAATATTCTATAGGGTTCTGCCACTTAAGAGCCCGAGTGCATGAAAGCATTAGGAACACATGCTGTGGTCAAAAGAGAGAGGAAGTACTACAGGAGTGGATGGCTGGATGAAAGAGGAAGGAGAGGAGAAGGAACAAGAGAAGTGTTTACCACACTGTGTCAAAAGCCCAGCCTCTCAAAGCTTTGTGCAGCTTTGAATTTGAATTCTGGTGCTATTATACACTAATTTGAGCAAGTTACCTAACTGCTTGGAGTCTTTTGTTTCTCCACCACTGTAAGGTTTTTGCTCAACCACTTTGGTTTTTTCATTTGTACCAGGAATCGAACTTAGGATCTTGAGCTTGCCAGGCAGGTGCGGCACCACTGAGCCAAATCCCTGGCCCTGCTCACCCACTCTGTCATACAGTTCTCCACGGGTCATCACATCATAGAATGGCTTCTTTCTATCCCTGAAGGTCTCAGTTAAAACCTCCATTCCTATCTACACCCTGCACACTATTTATATCCACATGTACCCTACCCTGGTCCATCCCAATTGTCTGGAAAGCCCAGGTGAGAAGAGATGGACCCGAATGTGTGAGGCTCAGTCAGCCCCAAGGGAGGGGAGCACCAAGGGCAGGTGCAGAACAGACAACGGTAGGGGACAGTCAGCCACCATGGTAAGTGGAGCATGATGTAAACAAGAACAAGAGGAGCCGAGGAAGACCACCACCACTCTGGCCAACTACATATGTGACAGGGTTTGGCTGTATTCTAAGCAGAACTGGCAAATTGTCAGAACCCATATGTGGTACATCAATGAATAAGATGTGCCCTCACCACCTGACCATGAAAACAGTAAACAAAGTGGATGTTCCTGGGAGAGAAGAGATCAGTAGGGGCTTGCTCTCCTGAGTTTCACCAGCATATAAGGAGAACCAGGAAAGGGGGATGGCTTAGGATGCACTCTTACTCCAGGCAGAAGTTTCAAAAACCCCATAAGGACAAAGCTCATCAGCTATTCACCAGGAACAATGACTCTGAAGACTGAAGAGGGCTCCAATTCTAAAGGATATGGCAAATTTAGCCCATGGTTTACCAGATACTCCTGTGGCTAAAGTATCAAGGGCAGCTAGTGTCACAAACCACACCCGCCCTCCCACACCACCCTGCCCTCCAGCAGGGAAGATTATGCTCACTGGCTCCCTACCTTTGTTAATATAGGCCTGGGGCAAATAAAAGCAAAGCGTGTTTTGTAGTCTTCTTTTTCTATGAATGTTACCTATTTATACATGTACCACCATTTACCCATTCCCTTACTGCTGAGTTTGTTTTCAATTTTTTATGATTATAAGTAATGTTGTACAGAACATCCTTAGAGGAAATTTCATGTTTTCAATTATTTCTTAGAATAAATTCCCAGACAAGTACTAGGAATAAATTCCTAGATATGTACATAAAATCACAGGTTCTGAATCCTGTCACATCACACCATAGATTACCCTCTAGAAAAGTTAAATAATTCACATCTACCCAATCACATGTAAGTTGCTTTTAAATAATATTTTTAAAATAATAATTTTTTTTCCTCCTAAATTCTTTTATAGGTACATTTTAGGTATACAATACATTTACATTCATCATTGGGAACTTGTACCTTTCTTTACATGATGTATTTTGGTTCTTATTTTTTCCCATGCCCCTGCCCTCCCTTCAACTCCTCCACCTTTTGTTTCTATTTTTTTCTCATATAAAATAATTATTTTTAATAATTTTAAATAATATTTTTGCCTATGGTGTATTTTTTTTTTCAATTTTTACCTTTTACTAGCATTAGTACATGTCTGTATATGTTTGCAATAAATAATATTTTTTTAAGAACTCTGAAAGACACTAACTCTTCTTACCAGATTCTATTATGGCCTCAGTGCTGTTTGAAGGAACTTTTTTCCAATCCATAAGGCAGGGCTCAAACTGAGATGAATTACACCACTTAATAACATAGTCACAAGTCATGTTGGGGTCAGGATGCCAGGTGAGGAGAATCCTCTTTCCCATTCCAACAACCTGCTCTACTCTGAGATCATCTTCAACAAGAAAGAAGGGCATTTTATTGGCAATAAAAACACTACAAGGTAAGTCTTGTGAAAGTGCACAGCAGTTATAGAAATTACTTCACTGTACACAAATTACAGAATAGTGCTCAAAACAGATAAATGTTTAGCAGAGATTAGAAGTATTGCTCTGTTACTTGTATTAAAACAACTATATAGCACTTACCTGTATCCAGTGATTAACACAGCAACTGAAGAATTAAAAAGGCAACTATGATCAGGCAGGAACAGCCTGGGGGTGGGATGGGAAGATGACAGTCCAGGAAGGATGGGGTGGAGGAAATAAGGATGGAAATAGAAGCATCAGAGGACAAGGTGTGGCCGCACTGGGGAGGGAGGGGGTGGGAGCTTGGTGAAGGACACTGAATGCAAGCTCCATGAGAGCTGGTGGCCAGAGAGTGTCCAGAAAGGGCATACATAAAGGAGTGGAAGAACAGGTGAGCCAGCCCCTTCTCCTGCTTTCCAGGAAGCCTGCTACCCTTGGGCAGGGCTGAAGGGTACTGAGCCAACTCAGAACAGGATGGGAAGGGAGGATCTGCTGATGCACCAAGCTATGTGCTGGGGGCAAGGGAGTGGGGAAATGGGCCCTGTGCCATGTTTGTCTTCCCTATCCTGCCAGATCTGTAACTAAATGACAAGTAGGGGCCAAGGCTGGGGGTGAGGAATTGGGGTGGAGGACAGAACAGTGCAGTCACAGTAATTTCTATATCTGATACATACTTAAGGATTCAGTAAAAAGCCACAGAAGTGTTTTCTGAGCAAACATACATTCACAAAGCAGTTACCCCTGAACACAAGACAAAAATCTGGATTAGAATGCAGAAGTCTTTGGACATAAAACAGCCTTTTGGCTCCATATGCTTACAAATCCACAATATAAACCTGAGCTGGGACTGGAGAGCCACCATCTTGGGAAACCCTCCAGGAGCCATGAGGTGCTGGGGCTGTAGTCACTGTCTGAAAGCTGATGACCAAGCCACAGTTAACCTCTGCAAATTGCCATCCCTCAAGGTCAGAGGACATGTGGAACAGGCAGGCTTCCAGTTCTTGAGTTAAAAGACAATACAGCTGCTGTCTATCATTATGAGAGCAATGAAGTGAATGATCTAAGTCAGAAGTTATCTTCTTAGGTTCACACATCTGTTTGTGGCTGGCCAGGCCCAAATACAGGACCATTAGTCTGCCTTGTAATGACCCTGCCTGGCTGCATCTGTTCCAGCTCTGGGGCCTCTTCAGCCTATCCCGTTAGCTCAGCCAGGACAGTGTCTGTCTCTCTGAAATGCACTGGCCTTTTCCCCACTCTATCCTCCTACTTTTCCTACTTCGGCCTCAAAGAGAACAAAGAACTTGTTAAGTAACATAATAAGAAACTGCCAAGAGCTGACCTGAGAAGACGCTCAGAGGTCCTAACTGGACCCATCTGGCTTCCTCTTGGAATGAGTTTATAGAAAGGTATTCCCAGAGAGGGGCAGCACAACAGAGGAGGGGGATCAGAAATGATCTGAAAGGGAAAGTGACCATTTCTTTCTCATGACTCAAAAAGTTGTCCAGATAGACGCTAAGACGGGATGCAGTAGTCATTGATAATCTAATTACTGTAAAATTTAAAGGAAGGCACTAATAATTTTAAAACTCTATCAGTCTGTTATTTTTCCCAAAGCCTATGTTACAGATGGAATTTGGACTTCAGAAAGATTTTATCAATAAAGAATTCCTTATCAACACAGCTCCCAATTAAAACAAGTATTTTTTCCTGCCTGACAGTTTGCACAACAGCCTAGCTTGATAGCATAAGCTCTTAGTCTTAGAGATATTTGAAAACAAAGCTTGAATAAATAGTTAAACTATTTCTTCTAAGCACTTCCACAACCATAACTCCCCAACATAATGAGATAAAGTAACTGGCGGTAGTAATTATTTTATCTATAAGTGTACATGCTTCAAGTCAGTAGTAACAACTACTATCTCTCAGTAGTATTTAGACATTAATCTGCTTGTTCCTCCACGTATAGGTCAGCAGCAAGCAGCATGTATGAGGACTGTTCATTACATAACAGATGTAACATCAACTTTCTTTTTTTAATTTCTTGTTCTTACACACCAAGTTTTCATAACCACTCACCATTTGGGATTTCCATACTGGCTATTTTAGAAGGTGGTGATGAGCCAACAGAGTTCTTTGCTACCACACTGATGATATAATCATTTTTATCCAGGCGTATTTCTGCTTTGTGTTGAGGATCGGGGATCTCAGAAAGGGATTGTGTTTCCTCAACTGATGAACATGATACATTATAGGAAAGGATTTTCCCATTAGCATCATTAATAGGTAAAGGCTACGACAAACAGAAAATAAAATTGTTATTAAAAACTTGCAAAAAATAAGTGATTAGGCACAGTCATCAAGTCTAAATTGAGCGTTAGGTTCACAGTGACTAACATTAGAAAAAGATGAAACTGTCTACCACACAAAACAGATTTAAAGTCCACTGAGATTTAGGTATATTAGGAAAGTTATATTTAAAAAAGCTGCATTTGTTGCAAGTATTAAAAATACACAGAATTTAAAGAGGAACTACAAAACAAGATTTATCTTCATAGATATCCAAGTATCTGATCCCTTTAAAGGAACTAAGAAGATTTAAATTAATGTGAAGCAAAAATTTAAAGTTTGCAGAAGCACTGCTCTACTTAAAAACAAAACTTTTAAAAGTATGACATCAGGTTTTTAAAAAACAGTAGTTTTCTCATTTTTAAAATAGTAATGTCCATTAAAGAAAATTGAAAAAATATAAAAATTGAAAGGCAGCAAGTTAAAATATCCCATATTTCTGCCTTTTAAACACTCTTGCATTTTGTTGTTGCTTTCCAGTTGTTTTTCTAGAGGTAGGATTATTTTTTCTTAATTAATGGCCCCAACATTACATTCAAGTGTGTTATTAAATGATATGTCAGCTTGTTGAAAACTCTGCCTTAAGGATGGAAAAAAGTTCTCTCAAACACTGTTCGTATCAAAACACAATTACGTATTTTTACACTCTTCCATAAACACTTGTCCGTGTTAATACAATTACATACATTTTAGTGACTTTACATTTCATTTCACATTTTTAACCAGTATACTTGAATATTCCTTAAATACATGAAATTTAAGTTGTTCCTAAGTTTTCATAATACTAAAACAATAGTATTTTGGTTGAATACTTTTGTGGCACATTTTTTCCTTTTTTCATACTTAGGATTAAGTATTTAATCTAAATCCCCAAAAGGGCAAGTAATTGTATAAAAGAAAATGAACATTCAAACTTCTTTATTTATATAGCTAAAATCCCTTTCAAAACTACTGCCCCTGCATATGATGCCATATGAGATCTGCTAACCCACTCACAGAAGAAAAATGCAACCAATACTTGGGATTCCAACTCGTAGTTTCTGGCTGAGTTTCTGACAAAAGAAAGGGACAGGGAATTTATGAAATTCTCAGGTCCTTAGTGGGCCTCATAAAATCCAGGTAAAGAGTGCTCAGAACTGAGACAGAAGATCCTCACTACAATGACTGCAGTAAAAAGGGAGTGATGAGGAATTTGGGCATATAGGAGGCAGGTTAGCTCTCAGCAATACTACAGACTTAGCCAATCCAGGAAATTCTGAATGCTCAATAACCAAAGTACCACATACATGTAAGTCAAGCACTTAAGCATAATACAATTATTTAGATGTTCAAGGAAAAATTAGATATTTACCTTCCAGTATATTATCAAATTTTTCCCATCAGAACTCCACTCTCTCCAAGTATCTGGTCCCTTTGAAGGAGCTAGGAAGGAAATCTAAAAGTTAGCACCTGGAGACACATACTGTATGTCTGTTGATAGTATCAGCAATTGAGATGGTAGTGCTTAAAATTTTTTTCTATGGTATTTCAAATACTCAATAAAATATAAAAGTTCAGTGGCTTAAAAATGAATTTAGAAAATGAAGCAATAGAAAAGCTAAGCTCTCAATTTCTACAAAACACAAGGTCCCAGAAAGTGGGCTAAAATCATACTCAAGGCCATCGGTGATTGTCCTTGGGTGCCTCGCTGTCTTACATCTTATCTCTCCATGAATAATAATTAGCTATAAATCATTTAGTTAACTTACTGGCTTCTGTGGTTAAATGTTGTTTTTCATTGCTCCATTTGCTCCATTTCCAGTAAGTTTCAGAAGAACAACGAATCCGAAAAGTATACATAGTATATGGATTTAATTTGTCCACAGCAACACGATAACTTGAATTTTCCACTCCTTTGATTGTGATATTCCGCTATTTGAAAACAAGTATGTGTATGTATGTGTATATGCCATGTGTATGAATACATGAATACACTCACACATATACATTTTTGTAAGAAATCCTCCTACATAAGTAGTATAAATCAACTGAATGTCCATATGAGCTTATATTTAAACACGAAAAAGAGCTCATCCACTATAGTGAATATTTTATTTTATTTTATTTTTTCATTTATTTTTTTGGTACCAGGGATTGAACTCGGATCCTTGTGCTTTCGAGGCAAGTGGGGGAACCACTGAGCTAAATCCCTGCCCTATAGCGGATATTTTATATTTTGACTCTTACATTCTATATTTTATTTCTTATATACATACAGTATCAAGTCAATAAAACTATATTCTACAATAGCAATAAAATATTGGGATTTGGGGGCCAGGGATTTAGCTCAGTGGTTTTGCCACCTGCTGCGCAAGCAGACCTGAGTTCGATACCCAGTACTAAAAAAAAATAATAATAATTGGGATTTTAAAAATCTGAATATTTAATCTAAGTAATAATTAAATTATCCAGAGGATGATATAGTTTTGATAACCAGTCAAGGGCTAATGATTATATAATAAACCTGAACATAATTTGGTAATCTTAGATGACCTCAAGACTTGAGCATTAAGTGTACTATCCAGATGTTATCTGGAAGCCTCCTGGAAGCAGGCATCATCTTTTATGTAACTCTTTTATTATGTCACTTAGGACATCTAGAATGGTGCTAAACATATAGTAAATGGTCCATGGATACGTAAACTAAACAAATAAAATGAAGCAATTTTAAAATAATTTGAGGATTTGCATGTCTCAGGAAAGCCTCTGAACTCCAAAATGCTTGTTACAAAGATTTTTTTTCCAGGTTACATTTTCTAGTTTTGACTCATTTTCTAGAAATCAGTAAATTTACAAATGAATATTTAAGTACAATATCATTTATTTTGGACTTAACCACAAATTACAAAATGGTATAGTATAAGTCAATCTAAATATTTAAAATACACTAAAAAGTCATGCTTTGACTTATAATTAATTACCAAGTATAACTTGCCCTCATTGTTGCATTCTGTAATTTTAAAAATCACTACTACTTTCTGATGCCAATTGCTCCATTAACTGATGTGAAAGGTTACAGCAAGAAGTACTCATTCACAAATTGAGCACCATCTACATGCTAGGTACTATATACTAGACTTGGGTACATTCTTAGTAGTAAAAGTTTAATTACCTTCTATAGAATCCAGTATTGCAATTATTTTCAAATATTAAGTAGAGTGCTATTGTTACCTTGATATTAATGTCTTTCTTGTTTAGTAAGTTTCTAGAATAGAGAGCTTATACATATCATAGAAGTATTTTACTTACCAATTCTTGTCCTGAATTAGCTTTATTAATTTTAATTTGACATAAAAGATTTATCTTTGCAAAGCTGCCTGATAAATGCCAAGAAAGTGTAACAGCATTTGAATTAATATCCTTCACTCTGAATGAAGTAGGAGTATGTGGAGAAACTGTAAATAGAATTTTAAAGAGTAATTCCTTTAAACATTTATTTACAAGTGAAAACTGTAACTATGATAAGTCCTAACTCTTACTACGATAAATGAGAATTTAAAAAAACAAAAAACAAGAAGGCATAATTAGTGTTGAAAAGAAATATTCTACCAGGTATCTATGGAATCCACACACCTCACTATTGCTGTTGATATCTTGCCAATGTTTTTAAAGAACCCAATCACACACAAGGTTCTTCTTTTGGTGTTGGGAATACAGAAAAGGTAGTAAGATCACAATCTCTACCTTTAAGGAACTTCTAATGTACAAAAGAATAACATAAGAAAAGAAAATTAAAAATCTATGGTAGATTCTAAGTCCATGGTACAGATGTTAGCTGCCACAGGAATTTAAATGTAGCATGGTGGAGAAAGTCTTACAGTGAAGGCATAATTTAAGTCAAGCATCAAAGGAAGAAACACACTAAAATTGGCCAAAAGAATGCAGAAATGGAATGCAGGTTGGAGTCTTGACAAGAATACAGGTACAGTGAGGCACAATGCATATTATATTGGTGATTGTACATAGGTAAATTTGAGTGATAGAAAAGAATCCCATGAGAAACACTAATGAAATGAAATGACAGGGAGCAGACAAATACAAACACTACTCCTGAACTATAAAATGTAGCTTTTTGATCCTGGAAGAAATCAGGAAACAAATATGACAAGAAGGAATAAGAGATGAAATCCACTTATATTTGGTAGTAGGGCAACAGGTTCATACACTACTCACTTGTAGGCTGTATGATAATGTATTTGGTTTAAGCCATTTCTCCCTTGAATGTCAGTCTCTGAGAGGAGATCTCTATGCTACTTCTTAGTGTGATGCTGAGCCTGGCCAGGAATCACTGCATGTGTTTGAATCATGGCAATGAATGCCCAAAGGATCAACTGCATTTTACTTCTATTCTCAGTTACCCATAAATGGGGTTGGTAAAAATTTCAGAAATCCTCAGTATAAAAGCAATGAATACTGATAACATCCACCACTTTGGATGGCCCTCAGGGACATTATCTTTAGTAAAATAAGCCAACCTCAAAAGGTTATGGACTATATAACTGCATTTATGTAACACTCTGAAAATGACAAAACAGATGAACAGTTGCTGCCAAGACTGGATTCAGTTGTGTGTGTGGGTGTGTTCCTATGTAGTTTATCCATGAAAAGATTCACAAAGGAACTTAATCATATTGGCCCTTCAGCAGACATACACACACAGACATACACACACAGAAAAACAACTGAGAAAGATGAATAGTCGAGTTCAGTAATCTAGTTACAGTATTACTCCAGGGTCAACTTTCTGGTGTTGATGTTGTGCTAATTACACAGGATGTCACCACTGGGGAAAGCCATGGGAAGGGCTCCCAAGGTTCTAATTCATTATTTTTACAACAACCAGTGAGTCAAATACTATTTTTTTTTTTCAAATACTATTTTAAAATAAAAGTTTTTTAAAATTGTAAAAATTTTTTCAGAAATCAAAAACTACTAGACAAAGCCACTTATAATTTCCATGTAAATGATAATTGAAAATTTTACTTAAATTCAGTGTTAAAACTTGAAGCTATTCATTTTTAACCTTTTAGAATAAAATTTATAAATTTAGTAGTAACTAACTCTAGAGAAAATAATCAGTGAAGAGTAATCCCTAAAGGCAGTTCTCATTAGTCCCCAGCACCTTGCCACTTCTCCTTTTTTTAAGACCCTGGCTGACGCAGGAGCACCTTACCTCGTTCAGTGATGTTAATGAGTATTGTTGATTCTGATTGCCCAAGAGGATTGTGACCACTCAGAGTAAAATTATATATTTCTTGATTTGGAATCATTTTAAAGAGTACCCGATAGCTTTCATTTGTAGGTACTTCAGCATTTTTAAATCTAACATATTTTCCTGAAAAACTGGATTAAAAGAAAAATAACTTCAAAATGACAAGATACAAATATTTCAGGAGAAATGGATAAATTTCTAACAATGAATCTTTGTAAGTTTATATTTTTAATTACAAGCATGTTACATACTCGGAGAAGAAACTCTGCATGATACAGAAAATAATCAGCCAATAAGCCCACCACCCAGAAACAGATTCTGTCCACATCTGAGGTTCTTCCTTCTAGACTTTTAAAAAATATGATTTTGTGGGCCAGGGATTTAGCTCAGCGGCACCGTGCCTGCCTCACAAGTGCAAGGTCCTGAGTTTGATCCCCGGTACCAAAAAAAAAAGATATGATATTGAGTCTACATGTGCTCAAGCTGCAGTTTTTATAGTACATGCAATTCTATATAGCATATTCAGTTTCATATCTTAACTCATAATAGGGATGAATTAAAACATTTCTCTATGTCATTTAACATGTGTTTCCAAAGTATTTACCATCTAACATCCTTTCCTGGTTACCATTACCTTTCAAATAAATTGTAATTTGTACTTCGTGGGCCCACCAATGCTGTTGGTCTTCCTGGATTCCAAGTACACACAATTTCTTCTAAATCATGTGTTTCACAATTCAGTTTTTGAGGAACATCAGGTGGATCTAAAGAAATAAAATATAGTTACACGTGATTAAATGCTTTTCCAGATGGCACAGTATTTTACAAAATGTTAACATTTTATATAATTACCTTAAAAAGAAATCATTTATTAACTATATTTTACTTATGAATAATACATAAATTATTCTTTACAGCATGTTTTGTCAGAGTTCTTAATATATTAGAAATGGTGCGGGGACAGAGGTTTAGCTCAGTGGCCCCAGAGCCTGCCTGGCAAGTGCAAGGTCCTGAGTTCGATCCCCAGTTCCACAGAAAAAAGAAATGATGGATTAAAATATATTAAAGTAAAAAAAAAAAAAAAAGTGAAAAAAAAATTAAAGTGACTCTTCATTTGGAGAGTCCCAATATCAATTTGAGAAATCAAATATCATTTTCCTTTAAATCCTATTTCAGAATGTACCAAATCTCTCAAAGAAACCTTTCTAATAAATTAAGTTAAAAATTACACTTTAAAATATTTTCATTTATCATCTATATACTCTGATTTGTAAACAAGTATCAAACATATCAAAATCAATATATGTTACTACTATGGTTTATATGTGGTCTCATGTGTTTGGAAGGTGACTGGATCATGGAGCACTATACTCATGAGTGGATTCATCCACTAATGATGAGTTCATAGCTGACTTCTTGTCAGGGAGCTGGGATGTAGTTAAGGCAGGCCATTGGGGTGTGACCTGGAAGAATACATTTCCCACACTGTTCCCTTTTCTCTCTCCTTTCAAGTCACCATGGCCTGAGCAGGTTTCCTCCACTGGGCCCTTGCTCTTTGGTTCCTGGCAACCATGATGTAAGCAGTTTTCCTCTGTGGCAGGCCCTTCCACCATGTCATTTCTATATATGATCCTGCCAATTACAGACTGGAACTGAGCCAAAATAAATCTCTCCTCCTTTAAATTGGGGATGTCAAATACTGTATCTCAGCCACAAGCAAGTGACTAAGACAGATTTTGGTACTAAGAGTGGAGTAGTTGCCATAACTATACTTGACCATGTGGTTTAGAAGCCTTTGGAACTGGTTTTCAGGAGCAGTATGGAAAGGTCTGGAGATGCCAGCTAGAGAAGTCCTATAATGCTGTAATCCAAGCTTGATGTGAGATTCTAGTCAGAGGTCAGAGGACCAGAATGCTGACAGAAATGTGCACAGTAAAAACCAGGCTCAGGAGGTTTCAGCTGGGAGCAAGGATGCCACTAGCATTTGGACCAGAGGCTATGTGGGTTATGCTCTGGCAGAAAATTTTGTCCACACTGTGCCCATGTTCTGAGACTATGCAGGATACAGAAATTAAGAGCAAAGGACTAATTAATCTGGTAGAGGAAATGTCAAGGTAGCCTAATGTTCAGGCTGTGGCATGGGTACTGCTGGCAGCTTTCAGTCAGTTTTAGAGTGAAAAACAGGTGCAATAAATCCATTTAAAAAGTTTGTTTTCTCAAAAAGAAAGCCCCTGCAAAGTTAGAGCAAAGGAGAATATGGTTGCTAAAAAGATTTGCATTAAAAAGAATTCAAGTATATTCATCAAGACAATAGAAAAGATAGCTTGAGGGTATCTCAGAATCAACAAGATGCTACCCTCCACATGGTTAAAGGTTCAAAAGTTAAAGACTTTGCTTTGAGAAAAGAATGCCAGGGAATGCAGCTCATCCAGGGCAAATTAGGAAAGTGTTCTCCAGAGTTCAGCCATCTAACAAAGCACTCAGAGGCTGCTGCAGCCATGATCTAAGGGGGCCTGGCTACTGCTTGAGCTGGAGGCAATTCTTGGCATTATCCAGATGGTGCTAGTTTTATGGGTAGGCACAGTGCAAGTGCTGTGGGGGTCCAGGAGGCTTCAACCCAAATTTCAAAAGAAGACCTAGGAAGTCAGTCAGTGTGTCCCTGAAAAGGCAGTGTGTGAACACATTAGAGTGAAGCTGAAAGTGCAGTGGAGAAATTGGAGAAGCCATGAACATGGAATGTCTGCCAAGGAAAGCTGTAGATGGCAAGCAAAGCCAGCCCAAGAGAGAGACCATGAGGGCTGCAATCAGCAATGGTATAGGAAGGAGGGCTGCCCAAGCCCTTTCTAGCTCACATCTCACCATCTTGCCCTGTGTGCTGCACATAGTGCTACAGGACTTAATATTTCCCTAGTTGGGTTTTGGTCTTGCTTTGGTTCAATTCCTTCCTATCCTCCAATTTCTCCCTTCTGGAATGGGGATGTTTACCTTGTGCCATTGTATGTTGGCAATGTTCAGCTTATTTTTTTCAGAGGTTCACAGCTAAAAGTCTGCCTTGAGTTTCAGAAGAGAGTTTGGATTTGGCCTTTTTAGCAATACTGAAACTGTTGAAATTTTGGTGACTTAAGAGATAGACTAAATGTATTTGCATAAAGAGATGGACTTGAGTCTTTTTGAGGCCAGGGGAAGAACATTATGTTTTGTATGTAGGTAGTTCCTCAAAAGTCTCATGTTTGGAAGGTGATTGGATCATGGGGATTCTATCTTCAGAGGATTAGTTCATATAGCTAACTTGCTGTTAGGAGATGGATCCTGGTTGGAGCTGGATCACTGGGAGCATGAACCAGAAGGATATATCTCCCTCCCTGATTTGTCTCTTCTCTCTCTGCTTTCTGGCCACCATGATGTGAGCCACTTTCCTTTGTGGCAGGCCCTTCAACCATGCCATTTCTGCTTATGTGCCTGCCAGCCATGGACTAAAGCTTCTGAAATGGTGAGCAAAAATAAACCCTTCCTCCTTTAGTTGGAGTGCTGGGTATTGTGTCTCAGCAATGCGAAAGTGACTGAGCCAGTGAAAAAACTGTTCCTTCTGGCTTTGCTGGGGCAGACTAGAAAAAGCAAAAAAGGATTTTCGTTTTTGTGAGAACTTTAAATGAAAATGCTGCAGTCTGACACTGATTACAGAAATTGTCATTTTTATATCCATGTTTAATAAAACACATACAGAAACTGGTATTTCCCTACTGTCATATTTATCTAAACTATCTTTTATTTTAGGTTAAAGTAGTCTTAAAGTTACCTCTTAAAATATTCTGTAAAATAATTTTTTAAAAATGGAATTTTTAAAACAATTCTTAATTTATTGATCAGAACTTAAGAAAATTTTGCATACCCTTCCCAGAGTTAAGAAAAACATCCTTTTATGACACCGTATATAGTACTAAGAGGACTAATACCAGCTGAGTTAAAGTTTAACAATTAGCATATTTATTTTGGAAACTTTTTAAAATCTAAGGCCAAACTTTCAACTACTTATTAAAGTCACATACAAAAATATGTGGAATATATTCAACATGCTAGTTATTTTAGGGACTTGGCAAATATATTAAACTGAGAAACTTAAAATCCAAATAATAGGTAAAACCTCAAAAGAACTAGACAGACAGAAGGGGAAAATATGAAAGGATAGCATTTGAAATGTACTGATATTCTTTTCAAAGAAATTAACTCCAAAAGAATCAACTAAAGTTAGATAAAAGCTAGGTCTGTACAGTGTGATCAAAATATATGATGAATGTTTAAACAAATTTTATTATAGTAAGACACACTGCCATGAATCCCTCTAAAATACTTACCCCCTGCTTCAAACACACTTACCCCATTATTCTTGCCACTCTCTGAAATAGTTCTGAAAGTCCTCCTTTGTGAGTGTCTTTACAAGGTGTGATAAAAAAAATATAGTGAATGCTGATGCCAAGTGCCATCCAATTAAAAGCAGCTCTGTAAAAACATTATGGTGTTTCCTCATCCATGTCATTCAGGGGATCTGGAACTGTGACTTCTGGGTCTTCCTCAAAGTCAAAATGACCATGACAAGTAAACATTTTGAACTGATTCTAGACACTGAGGTAGCCATGACAGCATAACTAAAGACACTCATGAAAGATGATTTCCACAACTGCTGCAGAAAGTGTCAAGAATGATGGGATAAATGTGCTTGAAGGGAGAGGAATTAATGGCCATGTGTCTTTTACTGTAATCAATTTTTTACATTTAAATAGTTATATTTTTCAATTGCACCACATAAATCAAGTATACCTTTACATACAAATAAAAAATGCAATTAAAAAACATTTGTAATAGCAGTAGAAAACATCAAACACCTAGGAATAAATTTACGAAAGATATATAAGACCTCATATCACAAAGATAAATCAATAAATGGAAGGACATACCATGCTCATGGTTTGAAAGACTCAACATTATCAGAACAGAAATTCTCCTAAATTGATTATAGATTTAATTCCAATAAAAGATCCAACGGGTTTATACTGTGTATGTGTGTTTAAATGGAGAATAACCTGCTGATTCTAAAATTATTTTAAATAAATTATGGATTAAAAGAATATTCATAAGAAAAATAAATCTTTATCCCTAATTCACTCGAAAACCTGCTCTTGTAAGTTTCTAAAGAGCTTCCTCTGAAGAGAAATGTTACTGCTGTTCTACATTGACAAATACCAAAAAAAGATTTCAACCTCCAAGTGTTATAAATGAAGTTTAAATTATGAATTTAAAAGTTTTTTTCCAGTACTACAATAACAGGTTGGAAATAATAGAAATGGAAGCAGTACATATTCTCAGCTTTTAAATTTTAACTTTTCCTTTCATACTTTTAAGTGGCTAACTCACTTTTTGGCATTATTTATCAAGAAGCTTCATTACATATACCTCTGGTTCTCATCTTAGATGCCATATCTTTTGCGTGAAATTTTGTAAATAATCTCCTAAACACATTACTAGTAAGATAAAAAATGTAATATAACCATTAAGCTGGGAAGTGCACCTAACTCTGGTTCTTCCATAGAATTACATCAGCATCTGAAGGTGACTCATCAGAAGAATCATAAAAGAGTAAAGAAAAAAATCACTAAGAAATCTAAAGAAATATCACAAAATTCACTCACTCTATTTCACACACTTTGTTCATGAGACTCTCAGAACAAACAAACTCAGAGTCTTTTATAAAGAATACAGGCGGGAAGGAATCAGTGCTAGAAGCAAAGCCAAGGGGAGGAGGGAGAAAAACTTCACAGACATAGCTAAGAACTCTAAACATACTTATCTGTGGACATTCCACACAAGCCAGAATAGGCAGGGCAGCCCACCACCACAGCTTTTGGAAATATTCAGACTACAGAAGTGAACATTTCATAAATGTGTCCCTGAATGATAAAACATGTTATGTACAGAACATAGTGACAGCATATGATTTCTTGCCTGTGTCTTCCAGTCTTCATGTTCTCCTCAAATATGTTACTTAAAAGTCAGAGAAGACATATTATACTACTGAAAGACTTTGTTTAAAATCATTATAATTGAAGTATTTAAAAACAGGTATACATTAAGTGGGAAATGGATTTATATGAAATAATTCCTAAACAATACGGGATTAAGAAATACTATATACTAGTAATCTTTGATTCAACAAAGTTGTTAACTAAGAATTTAAACTAAACATTATCAGTTAGCTATTTTAGATCTTATTTTATCTTTTTTTTGGTACCAGGGATCGAACTCGGGTCCCTGCGCTTGCGCAGCAGGTGGCGAAACCACTGAGCTAAATCCCCAGCCCTTTAGATCTTATTTTAAAAACTACAAGTAACACTAATACAAGTAAGTAGAAAACTAACTGAGGACTCATTTTAACACATGTAAGGTTAGGTTGTGCATCATTTATACTGAAGAACAAAGAAAGAAATAGAATAATTCTGTAGGAAAAGAACTAAGGAGTTAAAGAGATCAAATTAGGTCAATAGAAACTCTCGTTAGATTTATATACTCACATCCTGCAAAAATAACTGTTCCATATATGTAATCTTCTGTTGTGAAAATCACATTTGTTCCACTATTTTCAGAAACAGATATATTATGGATCTTGATGGCAACATTTTCTCCATCGAGATGGATAAGGGGACAATTTTTACTGCCAATCTGTGCCAATAACACTTTTTCTTGACTTATACAACAAAATGTTATGTCTGAGCCTACAAGTATTATGTTGTCTTGAGGAAAAACCTTGGTCTGAGAATCAGAAGTCCCTAGAAAGAACAAAAAAAATTATAAATATTTTAGAAGCGTTTTACATAAAATAATCTCCATAATAAGCCTTTTTATCCCCAAGATAATTTACAGAATAGTCCAGTATATACACAACATATTGTTTGGTGTTTTGAGACAATGGTGGCCCAAATACGAGGTGTATCCCTCAGATTCCAAAGAAACAAGGCACATATGAGAAATAAAATAAAACTGTGTATAATTTATTTACTGAAAAGGGTAATGGTGAGGGGTGAAAGGTTTAAGGTCACAGGGTAATATTTAATAAGTCTAAAGGTGCAAATTCAGTGGGTTTATATGCACTTGAGAAAAATGCACACCAAGAGAGGCTGAGATGGGAGGATTCCAAGTTCGAGTTTGACCTGGGCAACTCAGTGAGACCCTATCTCAAAACAAAACAAACAAAAAACCCTCCACCCCACATATGTGATCCACACCCCTCCCCCACTGCCACACACACTAAACAGTATTTCTAATGACCTCTATCCTCCTTTGCACCCCCACCCACCTCTTCACTGTAGTCCAGTTTCCACCCCACCATTCTACTATGCTCAATCCAGTGGTCCCTTCTCACTCTCTATTCCCTTTGCTTTCTACTGTGCCTAGGATGCTGTTTAAAGTCTTCTTCCTCAGAACTCCCTCCCTTCTTGGGTTCTATAACACTAGACTTTCCTGAGCTATTGTTAGTACTCTGACTACTGGCCTTCCCTCTATTCTACCCTTAAGATATATGTGCTCCTAGGGAATGTGGACTAAGAACATGTTACCTTCCAAAGTCATGTTAACCTTCAGAATTTAAAAATCTCGTATCACATATATATCAGTGATCCCCAACCAGGCCTGTCCAGCTGTACTTACTCACACCAGGATGCCAAACTTACATTTCCAACTGCCTGTACGGCCCCACTACCTAAACTCTTCAGTCCCTCAAGCACAATGATTAAAAACAAAAATTTCCTTTCCTATCAAACTTGTTCACACTATTTTTTGTCTCAGAGGATAGCATCACTAACCACTCAGCTACTCGTACTAATAGGTATCTTTGGGTCTATTTCTCTCTCACCAATGGCATTTTCACATCTTTCCTCCCTTTTCATTTCTAAACCCTAGTGTCCTAGCTTACGTTGTCACTGACTTTTGTTCAATAGCCAGAAATTCTTATTTACCTGCCTCCAGCTCTCCCCTGCTCTGATTCGTTTCTGCACATTGTCATTAGAGTGATCTACCTATTCCAACTGCCAGTGTTTTTCAAGACTTCATTTTACTGGCAATGTTGTTCTTGACCCTACTCTACCCTGACAGCATTCTGCTTGGATGTAAGTTTTGTTTAATGGACAGATAATTTTTTGGGTATGTTTACAGACTCCCATATTCTCTACAATAATTATGTGCCTTCAAGTGCTGTCTGCTCTGTAGACCAGAAGTCGGGAACTATTTTCTTAATATATCAATTTGGCCTCATTTCGAACAACATATTTTAAAATTATTCTTCAGTGCTTATTATAATGATTTTCATATCGGGATGTTTATTTAGCCACTTAGGAAGTCTTTAAAAGGACAGACTCCTGAACTCTATCCTTAACTTCTTTAATTAAGTTCTTTAATCTAAAGCTCCTGGAATGACAGACTTGAAGCTCCCAAGTGGTCCTCATATAGCTATTGGGACTCAGAGAACCAAGAGTATACACTAAACACTGCTTTTCAGCACTCCAGTTCCTTTGAAACAAAAATTCTTTAAATACAGGCTTACAAGAAATGTTTTTCACTGGGCTCCAGTCACTCCACTCTTTGAGACCAGAGAAATGAAGAGAGTCAATGTAGCACCTAATTCTCACATGATGAGTGGCACACTCCAAGGGCATGTCTGAGGCCCAACTCCAGTGATGAACTATATCTCTGCCATTCAGAGTTGTGTTGTAAGTCACCTAAAAACAAGCCCAAATAAAATTATACTTCCAAATGGTATGTTCTGCTTTCTTTTAGGATCAAAAGATCATATCACCAAGTAATCACCAGTAAGTAAATGGTGTGCCCTTTTGTAAAACTATCTTGGTTTTTTATGAGCCATACCAGGAAAGTTAGAGTAACAATCATTATACAACTATGTTCACTTCTTAAATGGCAAGCCCTACTGCATTATCATCCAGGACATTGATATTCATCAAAATGTCTAATACAGCACCTAAGAAAAGAAACTGCTACCCAAAGGATCTCCATGTTTTTGTGGAGGAAAAATAGTTAATGGCTTTGTATCTCTAAAATCAAGGAGGGGGCAGCAATTCAACAAAATAAACTGTTTTAGAGTAATCTTATTACCACCTACATAACAATTTTAATATATTCATTCTATATTTTAAATTTTCTTTTAAAAGAAAATATTTTTCAACAGTTTAATTTAAATGCAACTTATAGTAGTATAGGATATTAATCTCAATTGTGAGAAATGGGCAGATTTCAATTAAACTTTGAAGATCTACTAAAAGATACCTTGGGAGTTTCAGTTAAAAGACAATATATTAAAGAAATGTATTTCCTCCTTACTCTGATATCCTTCTAAAACAAGAGTAAAAAGATTTTTTTGAAAGGCACAGAAACACAAGGACAAAAAAACCAAGACATGCAACAACACCATTAACATTTTAGAAGTTGGAAAGCAGATGGATAATAGCAACTGACTTAGAAGTTCTAAGAAAGTTGAATCTTACATCAGCTTTCCAGTGGGAAAGCCAGGAAACCACCTGGTTTCTAGAAGCACCAAAGGGCCCAGGGAGTGGCTCCACCATGTTCCCCTGGAAATGCTGAGTGCCGGGGGTCTCAAAGCAGGATGGCTTGAAGGTTGTCTGAAGACACATTTGATCCCCTGCTCACCTTGGCAGCAGAATAGAGACTTGTGTCCTGGAAAAGTTAAGTAGAACCCTTCTGGACTGAAGGATCTCAGGAGGAGTTGGAAATGGGGATACTACACCAAAAAGAGGGACTGTTAACATAGGCCTTCTTTCTCTCCTCAGCTCTTATGGCAGCGGTAGCCAGATTCATATTCAGCAGGTATAGGTTTAGGGCCTATGAACAGGCTAAGATAATTACCTAAAATAAAATCAGAAGTTTGCTAACTAGATAGCCCATCCTAATTATCCAACAATGAAATCCCCAGTCAACAAGTCCACTTCAAGCAAACCAAAGTTCCAATGAAATCTTAAGACCCTCTCATTTAAATATAAGTAGCCATCAAGATGACCAAATGTATAGAAAGCATCCTAAAAGTCAAAAGCCAAAATAAAAAGAAAACATAACTTGAAGAAATATGGTGTGTAGAAATAAAAACAATTAAATCATTGATACCTTTAGACTTAAAAAAAGATAGTCCACTCGTGAAACAAGAACAGGATTCATTTTAAAAAAACAAAGATTACTTTTTAAAAGTTATTTCATACAAATGAAAACTATACTAACAGATTTAATAGCAGGACTGCATGATAAAGCTTAGGAAAAGTGTCTCAAAAAATGAAGTAAAAGAAGAGAAGAAACAGGAAAGATACAATGATGAGAAGACCAGTCTGGAAGGTCCAACTTATGAAGGACAAAAGTTCTAAGAAAAAAAAGAGAAAATAGGAAGAAATTTAAGAAATAAAACAAAATAAGTTCCTAAGCTGACATACCAGATTAAAAGGGGCCTAATGAGTTTCCGCTAGAAAAGTGAAGATATACCAGACACAAGAAGAAACAATGGAACAATGCCTTCAAATTCTTGATAAATTTTCCAATCTATAATTTTATAACGAGTTAAAACTAGAAATCACACATGAGTATAGAATAAAGATATTTTCAGAAATGCCATGTCTGAATGTTTTTAGCTGGTGGCATGTTAGACTCCCAGTAGTAAGGTATGTATATTCTAATTGTTCTACCTCTTTTCAATAATGGCAGTTGATAGGCTTTTTACTTTTTGAACAATAAATCATATCTGCAAGCTAGCTATTATAGACAGCAGAGTGTATCTACATTAACAAACAGCTATGAGAATATACATTTCCACCAAAATGAAGAAATAATACAGTAGTATATGATATTAATCTATTAGGAGATTTAGGAAAAGAAGGATCCATCACAAGAAAAAGGCATAAGTTATGCCTCAGATGTTGATGGAGTTCCTTGCACCATTACCTTACTAACGAATGAGCTGAACAACACAGTAGTCTGTCCTGAGAGGGTTACAAGTATGTCTACATCCTAATTCCTTCAAGCATAGGGCTGCTTGTAGGAGCTGAGGCTGCTGGAATGCCTGGGACACTTCTGACCACCAGCTGCTGCAGCCATTATCATGCTGTCTGCTATGCACATATCATCAGTATCTTGGGAGCCCTTATGTGAGAAAGGCTGGGAAGCCAAAGGTCCTCACAGACATTTAGGAACAAAGATAAACTGACAGAATACATAGTGTATTTGAAAGTTTCAAGGAGATTTATACAACCTGGAGAGAATTTAGGGATGAATTAAGCAGAGAAATTTTTACAAAGAGATAATACAAGAAGTTCTACGAAAGACAAAGTTGTGAGTAGTGTTTACACAACCATAATACAACAAATATTGTTTTACCAAAAATTGTAACAGATCTGTTAGAACACAGGAAATGGGAAAGGGGGTGGGTGAAGAGGAACAGGGAAAGAAGGAGACTGCAAATGTGACTGAGCTGAGAGAGGACTAAGTTCTCATTTTTCACTGTGCAAATCAATTAAACATTGCTCATAACTACATAACAAAAAACAATCAGGAATGTAAGTATGGTATTTGCAAAAATAGAAACAAATAATGAAAAACATCAGCTGAAAGAGTTGAAATAGTCTGTTTCCAGGGAAAGACAAATGGGAGTGTGTGGGGGCTGGTGGCGGAGAGCTCTTGGCTCCCCTGGTCCTCTCCATAGGGCACAGCTTTCACCGCTGTGAGCTGCCAAGCATCTTAAATGCAACATTAATGACTAGAATCCTTGGTTTGTAAGCTATTACAAAATGATAGCTTTTATTTGGTGGCCGCTTATGATGCTTATTATTTTGCAGTAGCAATTCTGACTTAAATAAGGATATTAATTACATATACAAATAAAAATGTCACATTTTTTACTGTGGACCTGAGCATTTTTCCTCTTTTAGTTCCCTTTTTAGTTCTTTTTAGTTCAGTTTTAATATATTCTTTCTCCATTTTCTTTTTTCTTTTGGCTCTTGCTATTTTTTTGTCATACAAAGATTTCTCCCCCAAACCTTATAATTACCAACTTGGTATGTATCTTGTAGCAATGAGTTATATGGTTTTTGACTAACAATATTCTTTCATTTATTTTTATTTCATTCACACTTGAAAAAGTATCTCCTTTATTGTAGTATCCAGATGTCACTTGTCAAACTTTTCATAACTATTACTCATTACCTCTTAGATAAAAAGAAAACTAAATACAGAGCATAAAAAATTGTTCATAAACAGGATCAAAAGAATAAAAGCATTTTCTAAACATGAGAACATATTTTAGATTCTGATAAATTGAAGCTTACTGGTTTCTCAGGCATTTGTGACAGATTACGATGCATTTATTTTGCAGTAGGAAATCTGGTAATTATCATGGCTAAATGTTTTAAAACACTTATTCTTATGTATAATGTGGGACAAAGACAAAAAAATAGATGAAAATTACATTTTCAATGTGTTTATATAAAGAGATGCATATTAAAAGGCTAGAGAGGAGTACACAAAGATAACATTTATTGTGTTCAAGTGATAGAATCTATGCCCCTCCTTAATTTCTTAAACTCCCTTCAATGATGACACATGTGATTTCTGAATCACGGTATACGGTTTTTAATGAACCTTGAAAGACACTTTATCTACTTCTTAATATTCAAAAAATTCACCGATACCATCCTAAAAATGATTTTTAAAACTGATCACTTTTTGTACTGTCATAGAAAAAAAATCAATTTTTGTTAAACTTACTAATTCTACGAGCTCCATGCTATCTTTACGTAGAACTTTGACTTCCCAGATGATATTTGAGTGATGAGGAAAAACAGAACCTTTGTCATTCCACTTTAGGTATAATGTAGAGGTTGAGAAATCAGCAGACAAATTCAAGATCTCTGGAGTGTCTGGAATTAAGGCTTAAAAAATGAAACAAAAGAGAAAGTTTAGTAAAATAAGTAATCTTGTTTCATATTGTACTTCCATTATCAACTATTTTAAAACTACTTCTTGATCAAACACAAATAATCAAGAATTCATATCAAATTGTCAAATCTGTTACTAAAAAAAAAAAGAACAAATATATTTTTATTTGTACAGGTAGTTCCCAATGATTAAGGCAAACTAGAAAAAAATCATCAGCGCTACTTCAAGTTCATTATACATATTCTAATACAAACAGCAACTGGTTCCTGCAATGCTCTGCAGTCATGTGGTCTGGGACCTACAATTAGGCAACAAAACAACTTCCTTCACATGGCAGTAGGTCAAACCTTAGAAAATGATGAAACATGGAAAGCTCACTAGGGCAAAGGTTTCTTCTGTGTGTTTTCTCAGAGCTTTCTCACTCATCTCCCAGGTCTGGCCCCTCATGCTAAGGGATGCTATTCATTTGAAGAATTTTACATGACATAATTAAACAGAAGCAAACGTAATAATAACTAAGACACTGGGTTAGGAAGCCAATGTGTCACTGTGTGGAAGTACAGAATATAAGGAAAACTTCTGAAAGGCCAGTTTAATAGTGGTTTGCCACACAGCCCGAAGAGGACTGAGACAGGAGATAAGGCGTTAGAAGGCTGCTTGAGAAATCCTGACAATAATAATGCTATGGAGTATGATGCCGAATATGGAAGAAAAAAAAAAGTACAATCTGTTGCACATTTCAAAGAAATGATTAAATCAGATGAATGAGAATTCACTCTAATGAAATAATCATGATTTCTCCAAGATACCAGCTCAGAAAGCAGCAGGAAAGGAAGAAGAAAAGAGGAACCACTGTGAAGATGCAGAAGAGTGGCTGTGGATGAGCAGGCATTCAGAAAGAAAAGGCAAAGTGCAGTGTCTTGAAGACAGCTGTGTGAGAATTGTCAGGAGTCAGAACCAGGGATGCAGACTCAGAGGAACTCACTGTATGTAGCTGAAGAAAGAAATGTGAACACACAGACCTGCAATGGCCAAAGCATGTTGTAGGGACTGCCAATACACAATTACACCTTCAAGGAACACACACTAGAGTAGGAATTTAGATCTAGAGTACGAAAGACCAAGAAACAGATGGGAACCAGAGAAAATCTAAGGTCACTGAGCTAGGAAGAAACAGGCTGACATTCGGGCCAAATACAGTAAGTCCCTAACTTACCAACATTCAAGTTGCAAACTTTCATAGATGTAATATATTAGACCCACTGTTTTGTTTTCTGCTTGCGAAGCAGGCATGGTGCCACCGAGGTAAATCCCCAGCCCTAGACTCACTTTGTTGTCTTACAAATGAATCTGACTTACAAACAATTCTCCAGGAATGGAACTTTGTAAGTTGCGGATGTACTGCATAGCAAAGATGACACGAGGAGGACCAAGAAAAGACCATCTACAGGGGTGAGGGCATTGTACAACTAGGTATTTACAAAAGAAGTTTGAGAGGGTTGTGAATTCTGAAGGTGAATTACCAAAAATGTACAGATAAACCATGCTTAAGAGTTTGAGCTTACACAGGAAAAATCAGTACACTAAAACAAGGTAAGAGAAAGAGGAATTTATCTTTGAAAAATGTCCTGATCTTCCTACCCATTAAGGAAGAGTAAATCGCTGAAGATTTTTGGATCAATGGAAAATAAGATGAGCCTGTCATGTTCTATGAAACACAGGCTCTCTGCTATGAGGGGCAGAGAAACTTGGACTCTGGTATGCTTCCTCCTCAAAGGACAGTAAAGTAAAAGAAAGATATATCCAGAGACGCACCCTTCCTTGCCTCACTTCTAGTTATTCCCCGTGAAGTTCAAGAGCCAATTAGGTAAAGTGGGAAACTGCAGGAGTGTGCAAGGGCAGGGTGCTGCATGTGCTTAAGAGTAACGACAACAGAACAAAACATCATCCATTAATCAGTCTCAGTATGGGGACTTGAAGCTGAGCTCTAAAATATAATTTTACTAAATTTCTTCAAGCATAATGCTCTACCTTGGGTTTACATAAAGTATTTAGGATTGTACAGGACGAGAACATGTAGATTTAAATCTAAACTGTACAACAAAATCAAAGTTACACAGCTATACACAGCTAGTAGGGGATGCTTCATAAAAGTCTTAAGTGAGAAACGGCTTGTGAAGAAAGAAAAAAGTGAGAAGAAAGTAGTTCAGTTAGTGCCAGGAGAGGAAAAGTTCAGGTGGCAGTATAACCAGAAAAGAGCAGGAAGCTTCCAAGAGTGTGACTGTTCCTCCAAATGATTCAATGTAATAACCTAAAAATTATGAAACATGGGCATATTTAATGGGCGCAATACTAATCTATTAAAATGCCCCCCCCAAATCCACATAATTTACATTCTCATGTTTTAGTAGAGGGGGTAACACTTCCAAAAAGAGTCATATTCGATATTTTAACCCAAATACTGTAATACCTATGATGATAAATGAAAGGATTTTAAAATCCTTTGAAAGGAAACTTTTTCTTCATACCAGACATGGAAGTTTCCCTTAAGCTGATATGAACTATCATCTATTTTTCTTCTGGGCTAAAGCAGACATCTGAAGACAATTTTAACTTGCTTTCTAGAACCTCAAAATTTTTTAGATAGGATGGAATTTGATGAAAATCTTGCTTATTTTTTTAAAAGGATTGCTTATTCATAACTTACATGCTCTTTCTTCCTGAGAGCATCAGGAGATATGAGTCTTCCCAGCTTTTTTTTTTTTCTTTTTTGGATCTACATTATTTATCTTGCCTCAGAATGATCTAAATTTTAAGGTTATTTTAAGAAACTAAGATAACAAAAAATCAAATATTTTTTTGTATACATGTGTGCTCTCCCTTAAGTACAAAATTGTGTGTATATGTATGTATGTATGAGTATACTTTTGAAACCATCTTCAGACCTGTGAAAACTTCATTTCTCACACTTTCACTTAGCCACAAATTATCCATGAGCACATATCATCTGATGTACAGCGTTAAGACCATTTCAGTTTCTCCTGCATTCAACAGGTGGTCAGAGATTTGCTGGTGTACTGCTATAATCTGAATGTCTGTGTGTGTCCCCTCCTGCACCCCTCTAAACTCCTCTGTTGAAACTTAACCCCCAGGGTGATGATATTACGAAGCACAGCCTCTGCGATTAGGTCATGAGAGCTCTGCCCTCCCAAGGAGGATCTGTGCCCTTATAAAAGAGGACCGAGGAAGCTTTTTTGCCCCTCTGCCACTTGCAGATGCATGGAAGGTACCATGTATGAGGAAGAGGTTGTCACCAGACACCAAATCTCCCAGTGCCTCCATCTTGGGCTTTTCAGCCTCCATGTCTATAAGATATAAATTTCTGTTATTTATTCATTACCCAATCTAACATATTTTGTTATAGAAAATCCAAAACACCAAGATATGTATCACCTCCCTATCTTACATTCATCTAATCTTTTAAATTTTCTTATCCCAATGCCATTATTTTAATCACCACTGGGGTATTATTTAAAGTGTTACTGATCAATTACATGACTATTTTTAAAAAGGAATTATGAATTGACTGAGTCACCTAGAGCTTGTCTCCATTTGCTTTTCTAACTTTCTAACACTGTTATCATCAAGTAGCATCCTCCTTGAGAACACTGCATGCCTACTAAAACAATCAGATAGCACAAACTGACTCTCTTACATACTCCTAGGTATTTTAAAAGTCTAGAATAAAATTCAGATTCCTCATACTTTACTAAAAAATAACTCCAGATGGACGAAACATTTAAATCAAAATGATAGCAAACCAAAAATCTCATAAAGAAAAATAGCAAGATATCCTATCCTACAATGAAAACTTATAGCATGAAAAATACCATGATTTAAAAAATAAGACAGAAAAACATCTATAGCAAATATGATAGTTAATAGGCACAACAGAGGAAGAGCTCTTGTGAATGAAGAACATGATCAATAACAGAAAATTCATAAAATATGTAAATGGCAGTTCAAACATTACAACTGACAAATTTTTTAAAAATTATAACAGACGTGAAAAACAGCACTCATATACTCTGGGAGCTATTCAATTTAAATGGCAAAAATTAAAGAGATGGATACTACCTAGTCCTTGTAATGATATGTGAAAAGAAGCACATCAACATGATGTTTGTGGGAATGCAAAGAGGTACAAAGAATCTGACCAACAATTTGGTGATTGGATATAAAAAGTCTTAAAGTGGGGAGAGTGAGTGCCTTTAACCCAGTGTTCTCAATTCTAGGAATTTAACAAAAGTATATCAGCCAAATTCACAAACATATATGTGCAAAAATGTTCATTAAAACACTGATTATAATACTGATAAGTTGGCAATAAAAACAAACAGCTAATAATATAACTCTTTTAAGTAATTCTGATCTCTCCATTTGATGGAATACTATCCTATCCAGGAACTAAGTATAGTATAGGTCTATATAAGTAACTTGAAAATGCATCTATTACATGGTTTCTGTTAAGCAAGCTATAAAGTAATATGAACCTTACTTTTACGTGTACATGCACAGAAAATCTACTTAAGTCTTAACACTACACTAGGGTCACGGTTAATCTATATACAATTTCTCACATAGATTTCAGAACTATAAAATAAACATAACAAACATAGCCCATATTTATTATTCCAAAAGACAGTCCTAAGCAGCACTTTACTCAGGCAACACTTTAAGCTGAAAAAAGGAAGGACAACATATTTATCATATTTAAAAATCTGTGCTATCTCTGACACAGATCATTCCAAGCATATATCTACTGCATTAAACTGGGCAAATCACGGATCACTAATTATATTTGTGTTCCCTGGATTCAGAGTCAGCCAGCCTTACAAGGCTCATTATATATCACTGTGCTGGCATACCAACAGGGCTGTCAAGAGCTGACAGACCTGCCTGCCCACCATTAACAGTCAAAACTACTCAGGTTTTTAAAGTCTCACCGTATAGCAAAATTTCTCTCGAGGTCAATCTGAGTTTATTTTGTGCTTCCAATCTGCTTTTAGCCTATGTCCTAAATATTCATTCAATCAATAACTATGTGCTACCTGCACAACATTGTGCTAGGTGCTGTATATAGACAACAAAATTCCCTGCTCTCATGGAACCTGTCTCCTGGTGGAGAAGACATAAGGTAAATACCTAACTACGCAGTGGATTAATTTAACTGAAAGCAATGCCAGGAAGAACCACAGCTTGCTTAAGAGTGTGCAAAGAAAGGAATGGGATCACCTGTGGAGTGGTCAGAGACTACATCCCAGAGCCAAGAGCACCTGTGAAATCCTGAAGGAAACACAGGAATCAAAGAGGTAAAGGGAGCCAAGGAAAGAGCACAGAACCAAGGGAAGGGCCTTAAATTCTGAGGTGTCTATTCTGATTGACTAGAAGACAAGTTTGCTTCCTTCTGGATCTTGGCCATGCTCTCTAATGCACAGCAAGAATGAAAAGTATCAGAAAAAGAAGTGAAATGTAAACACAAGTTTCTCCTAAGTACAAAGTATCACATTACTAACAATGTTGTATTTTAAAATCTGTTCCCTTTTCAAATACTTACAAACATTTTTTTCATTTAGCATGAATGTACTTATAGAACTTTCAGAATCATGTAGAGAGTTTATTGTTATTTCATGATCACCAGGTGAAAGAGCTGGGATCTTAATATTTGTTTTCTCTAATTGATGACAAGAACGGGGCCTGTGATAAAAGAAATTGAATTTTAATTCAATAAACATCATAGTGCTATTTTCACAAAAACTTGATTAACACAAAATACAGTGGAAAATACCTTCTGCTCTTTTGTATACAAAAACATGCATGGTTGTACTGTATTTTAAACTGAAAAAAAGAAAGGTTAACAGTAATTCTATCAGTATGGGAGTAGGAAAAATACCCAGGTTGTAGCAAAAAGCACAATGAATAAGTATAGATGAGTCCTTCAAGGAATCTGGGGTTTTAGCATGCTCTTCAAATCCCCCCTCAACCTTCCCTATCTGGCCTTGCCTCCCACCTACTCCACTTCCTCGGCACCAACCCTGGGCACCAGGTCATTACATAGACCCTCAGATCAGTTGGAGGACATTGGCAGCCAATGAAAGGACTGAAACTAGCTATAGTGGCCCTGTCAAACATGCCTGCAACCTGCTCGCTCCTCTGCCCTGGCTCTACGTTTACTTTAATGAAACTTCTTCGAAGTTCTGCTTTCAAAAGGCTTCCAGTTCCCTATTTAGCATCTCTTAGATGTTCCTGGTTCTATAGCCTTTGTATCTCCCTAGAGCACATTTACATTCTTTTATTGTTATTCTAACACATCTACCTTCTCGTGAAAATTTTAATCAATGCAAAGGTACCTCCTTCCTTCTATGCAGTGGACCCTGACCTAGTACCTAGCACAGGCCTTTCCTCAGCACCCACTTTAGCTAGGGACTTGGTCCTCTCCCCATTCCATCACCTCCTCCTTAACCTCATGTGGTGATACTTTTTTAGGCACCACAACCCAAAACCACCCAAATTCTCCAAATGACATCATTTCATCTCTTCAAACCACTGCACCTAATACTGGTTCAGGGTGGAATGTCCTTTGGTTCTTTTTCCTCGGAGAACTGAGCATGCCTCCCCACATCATACCTCTTCTGACGGCCCCTCTAGACCACCACACTCCTTGGTTCCCCTTCTCACATTTCACATAGAACTTCTAACTGCACATAACCCACAGCGGTGCTACTATTTCTTCACTGTGAATTCCTGGGAACAACTTACTCTCTTACGGTGCCCTGAAGGTGGCATTCATACTATCTGCCAAAGTTTTTACGATCTTTTCTCCTGGACTCACAGTAGGACTGTCCTCTGCCCCTCTGAAGCAAGGCACAGCCATGTGGCTTTACTTAGCCAAAGAAATCTGATTAAAAAATTCTCATCCATCAGTTCAGGAAGAGTCTTATAAAAGCCAATGCACAATGTGTGCTTTCTCTTTCCCCTGCTACCAAAACTGTAACATTTGGAGCCTTGAGAAAGAAATCCAGAGTGGAAATCCCAGCTGACACCCAACAGCCACAGAACACAGTAAGAAATAAACTTTCTTCTCATGAGCAAGAATTAAGGAATTAGGATTTGAAAGCTGTTCCTGCAACATAACCTGGCCCACCCTGACAAATTACTCCAATGCTTAGAGGAATTCTCAGTAAATATACATTGAGAGGGAAAAATCTGATTGTATTTAAATAAACATTTGTGTTGATATACATCAGAGCTACTCATTAGCAAACTGGAACTAGGGGAAGCACACTGGAACTCCTCTGGTGTTGCTAAGCATCTCAGCATCCTGTTGAGATTAGAGAAAAGCAATAGACATTGCTCAGGTGTGAAGGTGGCCTAAAAGCCACACTCCAAGCATGACAGCTTCCAGCCCACTCCAAGATGACTGTGGAGGATAAGGGGATATGAGGAGGCCTGCCACTGCCTTACAATGTCCATCTCTTCCTCTTCCTTAATATCATGGACCTAATGCTAAGAGAACTTATAATTCCAACCTCCAGAACTAGGTGCAGTCATCTGACTGGGCTTTGGCCAATGAAATACAAACAGTGGTGTTTTGTGCGACTTCTTAGAGGTTTCCTTAAAGAAAACCATCCCTCTTTGTTATGTCTTGTATTTAATGGATGCCCCCCCCCCAAGTGTCATGCTGTCAGGGATCAAGGATGTGAGGCTAGGATTGATTCATTGTGTAATGCAAGGATTAAAGTTGCCCCACCTTGGGTGTGAGCTGAGCGCTACCTGCTCTAAGGGTGGGAAGCCTGGATAGGAGATAAGAGACAGAAAGAGGTTCCCTACTTGTTGCTTGCTGCTTGGTTTCCTCATTATCTTGCTGCCTTCTGCCTGCCAATGGACTGTTTCTCCTCTGCGATACCCCGCTGTCATGTGCCACCCTGCCATGGAGTGAGCCAACTATGAACTGAAACCCCTGTGAACTGTCAGTTAAACAAAGCCTTCCTCCTTTAACTTTGAATGTTGGGTATTTTGTCTCAGCAATGAGAAAAGTAACTAAAGCACTCTTTTTGCTTTCTTCCTGCAGTGCAGACATAATGGTTGCTTCTCGAGCATTATACTCTTAAAAAATGAGACCATAGGGTAAAGAGGCAAAGTAGTGCAACAAAGAGGCACTGGGTCTCTGTGGCTACAGACAAATATGCCAGCCCTTGAACTTCCTACCACAGACTTTTTTCCATGAGACTCAAGGCACACCTGATGAGCCACTGTCACTGACATTTTATATTGGGTACTTAAACCTGCTAGAGACAGACTGCTTTGGGACAGACCAATAAAACTTACCAAAGAACTGCAGATATGCTCCATACTCTATCCATACAATGAAAGAACCAAACTCTTGGCTATGATAAGTGTTTGTTTCTATCTTGACTGATAATAGAGTTCAAAATTAAACTTTCATTTAAAAACTTCCATAATAAAATTGTTATATTCTCAAATGAAAGGTAACTTCTAGGCTGTAGGTATAAATTAATCAAATATTTCTATTACCTGTCTTCAATGCAAACTTTATAAATGGTACCACGACCTGTTCCTAGGGGTGCTTTCCAAGAACAGTCCCATACTTGTAAATTGTTAGTTGTGCACTTCAAATCACGTGTCCCTGGTGAAGGAGAGACAACATATGAACACACACACAACACAAGACATACTTAGTAACGGTTAAACATTTTCAATTTTAAGTACAAGCACAGGGTCTGCAGAGGCTCAAGTCCTCCAGGAAGAGATGGCCCTGCTATCATGATAGAGCACTGCTTTCATGTTTCCTTTTGTAGCTTTGTTTGTTTCAAAAAGCTAAAGGGTAAAGTATGAATGTGGACAAGACCACTCTGGAATCAGAATGGTCAAAAATCCTACTTCCAGGTAACTAAGAGAATTGAGGAAGAAACTGAATGTATAGATTCAGAGGTTGGGGAAGTTCTATACACAACTAGTCTCCAAGAGCCTCAGTGAAAAGAAAAAAAAAGCAAAACCTCAGTAAAAACTATATGCCTCCCATATCTACCAGTAAAGCTACTAAGTACACTCAACCACTGCTGCTCTGCTTGCTACCAGACTGCTGCCCTCTACAGGAATACCAAAAGTAACCTCGACCACTGAGAAGCATGTGAAATTTAAGCAGTAATGAACTCACATGAGTTTTTGAAAAATATGAGGGGGTCCAGAAACAACTGAAGAGTAACAGGTTACTCAGAAAATTACAGTCCTAATAGTTCTTACTCACACCTATACAATAACATTACATTATGGAATACATGAACACTACACAAAGTGAAAAAAGTCACCCTGTAAGGAAAACGAAAAGAAAGGAGGGCACAATCAAGAGGGAAAGGGAGAAAAAGAGGAGAGAAGGAAAAGAAGGAGGGTAAAACTGTAGGATAAAAACAGTATTATCAGGCCAGGGATTTAGCTCAGTGGTTCCACCACCTGCCTTGCAAGCGCAAGGACCTGAGTTTGATCCCTTGTACTGGGGAAGAAAAAAAAACCTACAAAAACAGTATTCTCAAACTCTACAAATATCTATGAGAAGTTTTTTTTAATTATTATTTTAAAAAATAATAAATAAATAAATAAATAAATAAATAAATAAAACGGGCCGGGGATTTAGCTCAGTGGGTCCAGCGCCTGCCTCGAAAGTGCAAGGTTCTGAGTTGGATTCCCAGTACCAAAAAAATAAATAAGTAAATAAATTATTATCATTTTTATACATAGTTGGCGTGATATTGTAGCAATAAATTATAAAGCTATTTAGAGAGAAAACAAAAACATGTAAGTGCTCACATTAGAAATCAGCAGTAATCCTAATAATAAAGTTATTTATTCAGTGAACTTGGGGTAAAGAGATGTGTTTCACTATGGATATAACATAAAAATAAAACCAAGGGGCAGCAGAATAATAATGGCCCTTCACAGAAATAAACTAGGTAATAATCTATAAACTAGGTAACATATTTAAAAAGATGATATATTTTAACATAGAATAACATTATAAACTATATATAAACTATATATACATACGTTACATTTTTAAAAGGTTAAAATTAGAGAAAACCAAGCGGTGCAGACCGGAGGGATGGGGGAGTCGACGCCAGAGGCATGTGGAGAATTTTCTGGGTCATGGGCCTGTGCCCTAACTTGGAGCTACTAGTGGTTATGACTGTGTGCACTACCAAAACTTACAAATCTGTATCCTAGAGGAATGAATATTTTATATAAATTATACCTTAATTTTTAATGATAAAAGAATATTTTCATCTATCTTTAAAGGGCTTTTTAAAAGGAATTAAATGTAAACAGAAAAAAGATTTGAGAGAAATGGATTTTAGCTACTAAAACCCTGAAGGGATAAACAAGAACTTTTTTATAGGCAAAATGAAAATAAAACTGAAATTTGCTTGTTATTCTGAAAGACTGAAGTACTTACCCTTTTTCTGGCTGTTTACTTGATTCAGTAGATACAGAAGAACAAATGTTGCTACGAGCCACCGGAAATTTGCAGGCATCCTCATTCTCTTACTGCCCACCATCCCGGATGGCTGTCTCCAACATAAGGAAATGTCCATCTTGTGGGCAATGCAGTCAGTCCTATGTTAGAAGAGATTGCAAATGATGCTCGGATTCATCTAAGGACACACCTCATACTGCAGATACAAACACTGAAAATGTGCTGGCAGATGTGGAAATACACTGCACATTCATGACACAGGAGACGCAAATGCAAGTCATCCTGGCTTTAGGTAACATCAACAACTGGGCACAGCTATTGCTGTGAGATCTGCCATCAGTTTGTCAAATGATGGGCTTTGCTGTAGTCAGCAGGATTTAGGCAATGGACTACATTAAATACAGGACATATAATTTATAAGATTATTTTATGATAATTACCCAAAGAGTCAAATGCAAAGGAGTGCAAGAGAGATTAGCCACACACTAGAGGCTCAAAGAATCTAGCTGAGGGCCTGGATCCTAGCAGTGTCCCACACAAATCCAGCTGAAAGCTTAGAGTCCAAGGCAATGTTCTCCATGAGTCCAGCCAGTGGCCTAGAGCCCACAGCAATGTCTCATGCTTGTCTGTACTGAGGATCTGCACCTGGAAGGCCCAAAAACCAATGGTGGAAGCCAGAAAACCTACACTGGTGAGATGAAGAATTTGTGCCACCAAGCTTAGGGATCCACACTGGAGCCAGGAAGTGATGCTCACAGTGAAGATTAGAGCTCGCCTGATGAAAATAGCAGCCATTCTCAGAGACAGTAAGGCCCCCGAGCTCCTCCTCCAATGAGAACAGCCTAGTTCGCATCAGGAAAACCATCAGCAACAAGCTCTCCTAGAAAATCAACAGGCCAAGATCTTCCCCTCCAGTTCTCTTTTTATGGCGATTGCTAACAATCTTTAGGTGGATCCTCCAGACCCAGATCATGCTGATTCAGTTCAGCTGGGCGTTACAAGTTGACCATTACTCAATCCACCACAGGCTTTAAATTAATATTATGACTGAACACATATTTGTCAACTCTGCTCAAATACAGAGTAACACAGTTAAACAGAAAAACAGTTCACACAATTAAAGTATAGATGTTTTAAAATAATATGTAAATTGTATTTTTAATCTTAATTATTTGAATTCCACATATGCCATTTACTGTGTGACCCTGGTACGGTCCATGACACTTCCTCATGTGCAAAGTGAGGAGATAACTGTGTTTTCCTCCTAAGTTTGTTATGAGGATCAAGTGAATGCACATGTGTGAAGTGCCTGGAATAGTGCCCAGTACATGGTCAGAGCTACGTGCTACGTGCTACTGTGTGTACTATGTGAGGTACAAGGACAAGAAAGGAAGCAAGGAGGACCACTAGATTTGTGATTAAACAATGATGGACAGATGGATAGTGCCATTTAAGTCCTCTGTGCATGCAGTAAGAAGAGGGCAGTGAGGTATGAGAGTGAAACTAAAAGACTCAAAGATCTATGTACAGACATTGATCTTAATGTGCTCCCACTCCTCACTCCAAACAGATGCATTCTCCCTACAGAACTTAAAGAAAAAAATTACCTAAGAAAAACCAGGGCAGCTAACACAAACATGGGAGCTTTCCACATAGGATATTTGGGGATTCCCCAGAGGAAAGAGGTTCCTGTTCACTCTTTCTAGAGCAAAATCTGACAGCTGCCAAGTCCTAATGCACTAACTTATCCAACTTCATTTTGCTTTATTTTATACTGACAGAAAACCAAGGATCACAAAACATACAAGCAAAGCCTGACATGTTGAAGAGAAACTCAGGATAAAAAGGATTACCAAAAGGGAAATAAAAATTACTCCTACAAGAACCAGGGATAATATAGCAAAGAGGAAAACTTAAAGGACAAAAAGAAAACAAAAAGGCAAAAACCTTTAACTGTATCCTCAGACCAAATGCAGCCAGCCTAAAAACAAAGAGTATACAATGAAAAAGAAATAAATAGCTCTTAGAAGTTAACTATATTGACTTGTATTAAATTTTTAAATACTGAATAACCTTTGAAAACAAACAAAAATATAAAACGTGAGAAGTCAAATGAGAAAACAGACTTAAAAAAGGAAGCCAGGTCTGTCTCAGTAACCAGAGCCCCAGGAAAGAATTTTTAAAATAAAGTTCTTAGTAAAAGAAAATGGTTCATTCTTTTCTTGGCTATTGTTAAACACTGTGAAAACCTCAGTAAATGAATCCTGAACAGCTTTATTATAACCAAGACACAGACAAAGCAGAAGCATTTCAAATGTGTTATTTTCTGGGTGAATAAACAACTTTCTAGTTAATTCTCTGGTATCACCAAGCTTACTTATTAGGATGAAAATGTATTCATGGAGTGTCTTAAAATATTAGTTACTAAAGTTACACAATGTACAGGAGTAACTGATTAAAGGAGAAATTGTGGAGGACTGAACCCAGGACCCTGAGCTACACTCCTTCCCCAAGGCTTTAATCCATATAAAATAAATTTTGGTGTAGAGTGTGAGTCACGGACTCAGTTCTTTCTCCTCATCCCACAAATGGTTACCACTTATCCAACCACACTTATTAAATAATCCATTCCTTCCCTCCCTGACTTCAATGCCATTAAGATATCCTTTCCCAGATTGCACAGTAGGATTCCCTGAGCCCACCGCTCTTTTCATTCTATGTTCCCCCATTGAACAATGTTATCTATTCTTGTGGTTTTAACCACCACCCATACACTAATTACTTCCAAATGTATGTTCTCAGGATTAGCATCTTCCCAGACAGACTAACCCTGTGCTGGACAAGTTCCTGCTTATCTGCATAAATCCACTCAAGTCAGGTCCTGTATTAGTCAGGTTTTCATTATGGTGACCGAATACCTGAGAAAATCAATGTAAAAGGTTTATTTTGGCTCAGAGTTTCAGAGGTTTCAGCACATGATGGGCTGGTTCCATTGTTGTGGGCTTGAGAGAAGGCAGAAAAATCATGATGGAAAGGCATGGTCTTACAAAGCTGCTCACATCATGCCAGCCAGGAAAAACAGGAAGAGGGGAAGAGCCAGAGAAGAAGAGCCTGGGGACAAAATGTACCTTTTGAAGCCATGGCTCCAGTGACCTCCTTCATCCATTAGGCCTCACTTCCATTCAGCTAATAAACTCATCAATAGATTAAGCCACTTAAAGCTAGTGCCCTCATGATCTAGTCACTTTCTGAGAGCCTATTAGCAGGCAATAAAGCCTTCAACACCATGAGCCTTCTGGGGAACAGTTTGGATCTCAATAATAACAGATCCCCTCAGGAATAACAAAATATTATAATGTTACATTCTACTTCGATACTTCACAGATTCCTTAAAAAACTCCACACATACAAAAATAAACTCTCTTTTCTCTCTACATCTGCTCTCACCCCCCAAGCCCTGCTATATAGCACCAGTCTTGCTGGGTCATCCAAGCCTGGATCACCCAAGCTACAACAGCCTTTGATTTCTTCTCCTTCCTCAACCTTCCCACCTAGTGGCCAATTTTATCTCCAAAACATGCCTTGATTCTCCCTTGCCCTTTACCACCATTTTTATTTCTACTTCTCTGGATCAGGCCTCTTGAAACACATAATTTAAATCACTAATTAACTTCATGCCTCCAAGAGGGCACCAACAGGTTTTACCCTCCAACCCTTCTCAATCAGGCTCCTTGGCAGGCCACTTGGCCAGAAGCTGTCCGACTAACCCCTCAGACATTATGTCTGAACTCAAATTTAAACTTCTCCAACAATTCTTATCCATTCCTCTCCGCCTTCCTAGGGGCATCTCTGCCTCTTGGCCTTCTTGCTGACTACCACATCTGGATGTATCCAGCACTGAGTTAATATACCTCTGCCTGTTAATTTCCACTTTGAGTGTTTATCATATTATATCAATTGTTATAGAGATCATTTTCTTCTTCCTTTTCCCCATTAATTATAAACTCTAAAAGTGCAGCTTTTTCTAGCATCCTTGCACTTTAAGAGTACTTTATACCCACTATACAGTACTGTATATTCAAGATTTATTTGATGACGTAACCAAACTCATTCCAATGGTGTTCTTCGTGAGGACTTAAAATATCTTGGGGGCCAGGGATTTAGCTCAGTGGTTTCACCACCTATTGTGTAAGCGCAAGGACCTGAATTAGATCCCAGTACCAAAAATATCTTGATGCCATGGCACTGTTTCTTTACATCCTGAGGAGAAAACAGCATACTTTTCAATGTACTTACTTGTTTGCTATAGAAAAACTTAATGAATAAAAAGACAGCATTGGCTCAAACTGCTAGAATTTTTAACATATGGATTATAATTATTCCCAAATGCCTTTAGAAATAGTAGGAGGGTAGAAATGCTAATTATGTAATCATTCATGTAAAATGCTGGCTGGCTTTGTCTAACTCTGCCATGTAATATAGAATTGATAAATATTTTTCAGATATCATTATTTATATATCATTATGGGACAAGTAATTAAGTTCTTTAAATATATCATTGGATTAGATTTCCTCTAAGAAGTCAGTATCATTATTCTCCCTCTTTTTCTAATAAGAAACTGAGGCTTGCTTAGAGAAGTTGCACAGCTAGGAAGGGGCAGAGCAGGGAGATCTGAATGTAGCTCTGCCTATACATCTCAGCTCTAGACCAATGCACTCAACTGTTAAATGGTGGGCTGGAAGCTCACTGAACTGCAGTCAGGAATCCTGGGCTCTGGTGCCTACTCCACCACTGAAGAGGGGCAGATGTGGACCTTAGACATATCACCTAACATTTCTCAGGTCTTAGATCTCAGATCACACTATGACACCAAGGCCTGCTTTCCCTACTTTATGTGTCATAAAGAAACTTAAAGTTGTTTCATTTTTAGGAGATCTTGTTTGTTACCACTAGGAACTAGTGACTGTAGAATAATCAGGAATGTGCTGTCCATCTCTGGCGACATTAAGGTTACTAGGGGAAATACAACCTGCTTTACAAAGCACTACCAATAATCACATCATGACAAAGACCAGACTAACTGTGTTCAGGGGATAAAGTGGAAAATAACTGCTATTTAACTGTTCTCCTTCCAACTCT